ATCATTTTCTACAAGGCTGCCAATTCCATTCAATGGGGGAAAATTAGTGAACTAAATGGCTCCGGAACAACTGGATTTCCACATGCAAAAGAATGAAGCTGGGCCTTTGCATCACACCATATACAAAATTAATTCAATATGGATCAACAATCTAAACAACAAGAACTACAACCATAATACTCTTAGAAGAAAACATAGAAAATCTTAACTTCAATCTGGCAATGGCTTCTTAGTTACAACATAGAAAGCACTGCAAACACACAAACAGGACTCCATCAAAATATAAAACTTTTGTGCATCAAAAGATATTATCAAAAAAGTAAAAAGAGAATGGGAGAAAACATTTACAAATCATACCTAATAAGGGTTTAATATCCAAAATATATAAAAAAACTACACCTCAACAACAAAAAGACAAACAATCCGGTTTAAAAATGAACAAGACTTGAAAGCAAATCTCCAAAGATATACAAATGGCCAATAAGGACATGAAAAGATGCTCAACATCATTAGTGGCCACAGTGGCAAGGGAGGAGGGAGAGAAAGAGGATGAGAGAAAAAGAACAAACAGCAAGGCTGTGGCTAAACTGGACCCCTCATGCATGGCTTGGGGGAACTGAAAAGGGTACAAGCCACTTTGGAAAGTTAGGGAGGTACTCATAAAAGCTAAACAATTATTACATGATCCAGCAAAAAAATGAAAATAGAGCCTCAGACACCTGTGAGCCAAAGTTCACTACAGCATTATTCACAATAGTCAAAAGACAAAATCAACCCAAGTGTCTATCAACAGATGAACTGATAAAATGCAATATGTGGTTATATAATGGACTGCGAGTTAGCCATAAAAAGGACTAACATTTTGACACATACCACAACATGAACTTCAAATCATTAAGTAAAATAAGCCAGTCACAAAAGATCCAATATTACATGATTCCACTCACATGAAATATTTTTAATAGACAAATCTATAGAGACATATAGTAGATTACAGGTTATCAGGGGCTGTGGTGGGGGCATGGGGAATTATTACTTAATAGTATTAAGAGTTTCTGTTTGAGATGATGATAACCTAGTTGGAAAACAGTGTGAATGTAATTAATGGTACTGAATTGTACACTTAAAAATGGCTAAATGGGCAATTCCCTGGTGGTCCAGTGATTAGGACTCGGAGATTTCAACACTACAGCCAGGGTTCAGTCCCTGGTCAGAGAAATAAGATCCCATGAGTCACACAGCAAAGGCAATTTCATGTTATATCTTACCTTTATAAAAAATTTCTAAGTATACTTAGAAGATTTAAGGGGAAAAAAAGATTAAAATAGTTCATTACTTATTTTATACTGATTACATATTGAATATCTGTAACATATGAGGCTAAATAAATAAATTATTAAATTAAAAAATTAAAGAACTGGAAAAGTCTTTGAAAAGACCAACCAATGCAACACTGCAACCAATGCAGGTGTACAGGGTCCTGTGTTCAGAAAGGTCAGTGCAGGGTTGAATCCCTGCTGTCACCATTTTTAAAGTGTTGATAATTTTAACTCTGAATTTGTTTTACGACGTGAAGTCTGATAGGACAACAAAGAGCATGCCAGGGGCTTGAAGCTTCAGCTCACACACGGTCCCACCGCCACTGTTTCTGGGACACAGCCTGTCCCTGCTCTCAGTCCCCATACCCTCCAAACTCCCCTCTCCCACAACCACTCTGAGACTCTTGCCCACTACCTGGGGCAACAGCCGAGCTGCCAGGGGGTCCACATTCCACAGTTGTCCTGGTAAGAGCCAGGTACAGACTTGGAGAGAGGAAGAGGCAAGGTTACCAGACTCACCCTGGGCTGGCAGCACCATGGTGTTTGGCAGATGACTTGGTGCCTAGAGCCCACTCTGGATCCAGGTACCAGAAGCATCCTGACTCAGAAGCTGAAATCATGTGGGAGCCATCATCTGCCTGGGACAGCAAACTTGTGGGGCCCGATCACAGCCCCACATTTTCATTCTGCACAGTGCCCTTCAAAGTATGTAGCTAGCCTTTAATATAACTGATCAAATATTGTTAACTGTTTAAGAAACTCTTCAAGATACTCTAAGGTTTATATCTACTTTTAGAAAAGGATCTTTTAGAAAAAGATCTACTTTTAGAAAAGGAGACAAGGATCATGGAAGAGCCTATTTTCCCTCAGGTTTACTTTCCTCAGCCAGGCTTCTGACAAGAACTATACAGCCTATGATTTGAGGTCCTAACTCTTAGGATGAATGGAGTCATATACACTTTGGAATGCCAAGAAGGCAGAGTGCATTCTCACTATGAAGTCTGAAATGCTGGAGAAGGAAACAGAAAGGACCCTGACAGGTGTCAGACAAACGCCCTCCCGTTTCATTTGGTCATTGTTGGTTTTCATCACTTTTAACCAAGAACCCTAAATACTACAATGTAAGTACATTTGACATTAAAAAGTTCTTAATGTGAGATTCAGTGAAAAGAAAACACAAAACTAGCATATGGTTAGAGCATGTCCTGTCTCTAAAAATCTGAAAAGATATTAATATAACAATGTTTACCATGGAGGTTCTGGGGTAACAGCGTACAAGTAAGTCATTTTTTTCTCTATGTTTCTATGTGTATTTTCTAACTTTTCTATAATGAACTTTTTTTTAATAATGAACTTTTATATCGCTTGAATTTTCAGAAAGTCTGCAGAATATAAGACCAACTACAAATAAAAAAAAACAAAATTTCTCCCCAAAAGAATTCGTAAAATTTAACCAAGTAGTTAATTAATACTGGTATGCCATTCAAATGTCTTACTTTTTCTTTTGTGAAGTATACATATATCTGTGTCAGCACAGTCTTGGAAAGAAAAAGAAAAAACAGTCTTGAACAAATTGAGATGAGTAAATAATCTTAGCCAGACTAAGGGAGAAGTTAGTGAGGAATGTCCAGTTTTATGCAATATCAAAATCGAAGGACTCCAGGATGAAAAATTTTAGTTGCTACTGACATTTTATCATAAAAAAAAACACTTAAGTTTGTAACAGAATTCCATCTTAAAAGTGAATTCACATTAAAGGCGACTAAAGAGAGATGACAACCAAAGGCAATACTTGACCTGAGGGACAGAGATAAACAAACAGCATCAGGTATTACGAGAGGTTTGGAGAAAAACAGCAGGTAAGATAATGAAGTGGAAAGGGCAGAATTTTAGGGGGAAGATTTTTCTGGGGCAGCAACGTTTGAAAAGAGGTCTTTTCTTCAGAAAGTTTCAGTTCAGTTCAGTCGCTCAGTCGTGTCCAACTCTTCGAGACCCCATGAATCGCGGCACGCCAGGCCTCCCTGTCCATCACAAACTCCAGCAAAAACCAATTCTGACCATTAATGAGAATCCTGGTAATTACTGGTCTTTCAGCACCTTTTTATAAATAAAGTCAATCTGGTTCAAAGTCTGAGATTTAAAAATTAAGAAACTGAACTCTTCCTGGGCCAATAATATCTTGAATCAAATTATTCACAACTCTGAAAAATTCAAAGCAGACGCAGTCCGTATCTTCAATATGGACTAAACATGCACAGAATGGCTATAAAGCTACATAGCAAGCTTTATTTAACAATTTTTATTTCTTTGTGCCGGCCATATATTCTAAAGTTATAAGATAAAATTATATGAGAACAGAATTGATCACAGAAAATGTGACTGTGACCTTAATTTTTAAACTTTTATAAGACTGCATGTATTAAATTCACAAATCAGAAAAGACAAAAGAAAACAAACAACCCTACCATACAAGTATGCATCACCATTGGGGATTACTCTAATACTAGAAAACTGACTTAGTCTTTTTCTGTTAAAAAAAATTGAAAGATCAAAAACAAATATACACTGCAACTAATGGCTGTATATTGTCACCCTGCCTATTTAACTTATATGCAGAGTACATCATGAGAAACACTGGGCTGGAGGAAGCACAAGCTGGAATCAAGATTGCCGGGAGAAATATCAGTAACCTCAGATATGCAGATGACACCACTCTTATGGCAGAAAGTGAAGAAGAACTAAAGAGCCTCTTGATGAGAGTGAAAGAGGAGAATGAAAAAGTTGACTTAAAGCTCAACATTCAGAAAACTAAAATCATGGCATCTTGTCCCATCACGTCATGGCAAATAGATGGGGAAACAGTGGAAACAGTAGCTGACTTTATTTTTGGGGGCTCCAAAATCACTGCAGATGGTGAAAGCAGCCATAAAATAAAACTACTCCTTGGAAGGAAAGTTATGACCAACCTAGACAGCATATTAAAAAGCAGACATTACTTTGTCAATAAAGGTCTGTCTGGTCAAGCTATGGTCACAAACGGATGTGAGAGTTGGACTATAAAGAAAGCTGAGTGCAGAAGAATTGATACTTTTCAACTGTGGTGTTGGAGAAGACTCTTGAGAGTCCCTTGGACTGCAAGGAGATCCAACCAGTCCATCCTAAAGGAGTCCTTGGTGTTCATTGGAAGGACTGACGTTGAAGCTGAAACTCCAATACTCTGGCCACCTGATGCGAAGAGCTGACTCACTGGAAAAGACCCTGATGCTGGGAAAGATTGAGGGCAGGAGGACAAGGGGACGACAGAGGATGAGATGGTTGGATGGCATCACTGACTAGATGGACATGAGTTTGGGTGGACTCCAGAGTTGGTGATGGACAGGGAGGCCTGGCGTGCTGCAGTTCATGGGGTCGCAAAGAGTCAGACACGACTGAGCAACTGAACCGAATGACTATAAAGTCCCTCCTAAAAGTAACTAAAAACTGGAGCCTAAAGCAGCCACTTTAAACCATAAAGACATAAATAAGAACAAATGCTGTTCCCAGGCCTCATTTTAAGAGGCAGCACTTTCCATCTTGAGGCATCTGACCCACTCTCCAAAGAGTCCCGTTCAAAGAGTCCCCCTCAGCCCAGGGCCTCCACGGTTACCATCTTCTCTTCATCCATTACCCGTGTTCTCTTACCTTCAGCAGCTCCTTGCATCTGTCAAGCCCAACGTCCATAAGAATGCTTTTCACCTTTTTCCGTACCTTCCTGATGTTGTCAAGATTCTCCACAGGAATTTGAAACATTTTTGAGATTTTCCTTAAAGGGAAGAAAACAAAACTATAATAAGTGTATACACACACACACACACACACACACACACACACACACGGCGCTAATGGTAAAGAACCCGCCTGCCAATACAGGAGACATAAGAGACAGGAAACATAAGAGACATGGGTTCGTCCCCTGGGTCAGGAAGATCCCCTGAAGGAGGGCATGGCAGCCCACTCCAGTATTCTTGCCTGGAGAATCCCATGGACAGAGGAGGCTGGCAGGCTATTGTCCATAGGGTCGAAAAGAGTCAAACACAACTGAAGCAACTTAGCATGCATCCATATATACACACATACACATGTATGGGCATAAAATATTACAAACAGGGTAGGTAAAGAAAGCAGAGTAATTTTCAACAAATTATTCTGGAACAATTAGATTTCCATAATCAAAGAATAAGTTGGATTCTTTCCTATTAGTATACACAAAAATTAACTCAAAATTAGTCCTATACCTCCATGCACAAGTGAAAACTTTAAAACGCTCAGAAGAAAACACGAGGCATAAATTTTTATGACATTGGATTTGGCAACAGGTTCTCAGATATGATACCATAAAGTGCTAGGAACAAGAGAAAAAGTAGCTAAGTTGGACTTCATCAAAATGAAAAACCTGTATGCTTCAAAGGAAACCATCAAAAAAATGAAGAGAATCCACAACATGGGAGAAAACATTTGTAAATCTTATTTCTGATAAGGAACTTATATCCAGAATATATTAAAAAAAACTCCAACGACAATAAAGGACAAATATGCCACTTAAAGACAGGAAAAGGATCTGGTTACTTCTATAAAGACAATATACAAATGGCCGTTAAGCACTTAAGAATGTGCTAAACAACATTAGCTATGGGGAAAAGCAAATAGAAACTATCATGAGATAACTCTTCACACCAACTAGAATGGCTGTCAATTTTAAAAGAAGTAGCAGTAATAGTGATAGTAATAGCACTATTAGATAATAGCACTAATAGATAATAGTAACAGCACGGATGTGAAGAAAATGGATCCCCCCCATACACTGCTGGTAGTAATGGCAGTAAAATAATGCGGCTGGTTTGGGAAAGTCCAGCAGGTCCTCAAAGGATTAAACATGTAAGTACCATAGGAACCAGCAATACCACTTGAGAGAAATGAAAAACCTGCATCCAAACAAAACCCTACACAAGAATGTTCACAGCACCATTACTCATAACACTCAAAAAATAAAAAAGCACAAATGTCCATCAAAAGATACATAAATAAAATGTGGTGTATCCGAAGAATGGAATATTATTTGGCCATAAAAAGTGAAGTATTAATGCATGTTACACTGATAACCCTTGGGGGATATTACTCTAAGTGAAAGGCATCAGACACAAAGGACCATATATTATATGATTCGATTTACAGGAAATGTCCAGAATAGACAAAATTTACAGAGACAAAAAGGAGAACATTGGTTGCTTAGGGCTGAGGAGAATGGAAGGTGATGGCTAAGGGGACAAGGTTTCTTTCTGGAACAGTGACAATATTCTAAAATCGACTATGGTGATGTTATGCACAACTCTGTGAATGAACTAAATAAAAACCACTGACTGTACACTTTAAGCAGGTGAACTGTATGGAGTGTAAGTTACATCTCAGTAACCGCTGCTTTTGGGCTTTTCTAGTAGATCAGTTGATGAAGAACTTGCCTACAACGCAGGAGACCCAGGTTTGATTCCTGAGTTGGGAAGATCCCCTGGAGAAGGAAATGGCACCCCACTCCAGTATTCTTGCCTGGAGAATCCCAGGGACAAAGGAGCCTGGCGGGCTACAATCCATAGGGTCGCAACAGTTGGACACGTCTTAGCAACTAAACCACCACCAACGCTGCTTTTAAAATATCTGAAAAGGCATAAAATTAAAATAAATCCTGTGGTAGTTGACTAGGATAAAAGGTACAGCTGTGACCTTATTATCTGTAATAAATACGGATTTAAAAAATATATTTTTGTTAATGTGTGTGTGTATATTGTACAGCTCAGGCCACTGCAAGAGCCTGGAAGTAGTTACACACCAGTAGCAGACCACGCCTTGGGCTCAAATCTTCCTTTCTAAATATCACTTTCCCTTAAAAGGAAGCAGGGCTCCTTGGAAAAATGGCTGACTTCAGGGCTGGAGCACAGAAGAGACAAAATGATCCTAGAATGTCTTCTGCCAGAAAATAAAGGAGTTGCTCAGAAAATGGGGAGACATGTCGAAAGTACTCAAAAGAAGTCAGCTTGAAGAAGTTTCCACAAGCCAAATATGGGACAATGTGGGTACCAAACAAATAACAGTAACAGATTATAACCTGCGGCCCCGAAGTTTCCAAAGATAATGTCACCGTATCTCCCATCCCACATGCTTTCCTCAGAACATGTCCGTGATACTCCTCCCAACCAGGAGCAGAATCTACACGCCCACTCCTCAAACCTGGGCAGAACTTGGCAGTGCCCTCAACCAATAAAGCAAGGCCATGGGAATGCCCAGGCTAGACCACAAAATGCCACATACTTTCCTTGCCCTCTGGGTACCATAACTCTTGGAATCTAGACTCCTTATTGCAAGAAGCTCAACTAGCCCACATGGAAAGGTTCCACATCAACTACTGGACCTGAGAGTGAAGATACTCTTACAGCCTGCAGCTGTCCACTCACCCCGAGTCTTTGAGTTTTCTCAGGTGAGGCCCCACACATTGTGGTACATAAATGAGCCATCTCCCCCTGCTCCCACCTGAGCAAAACATTACATACTCATCCCACAAAACACTACGACAGTAAATATAAGTAGGCACTGATGCACATGACAGCATGAATCAGTATCTCAAAAACATGATGCTAAGTGAAAGAACACAGATGCAAAGTCCTCATATTGTCTGACTCCATTTATATGAAATGTCCAGGAGAAAGCTACAGAGATAGAAGGCAGATTAGTGGTCAGCACTGGGTGGAAATAACTGCACATGAATAGGTTTTTGGGGAAAGTGCAGGAAATGTTCTAATACTAGACTGTGTTGTTGGTTGCACAATTCTATAAATTTACTAAAAATCAACTAATTATACTTCTTAGAGATGGGAATACCAGACTACTTTATTGTCTACTGAGAAGTCTATATGCAGGACAAGAAGCAACAGTTAGAACCAGACATGGAAAAATGTACTGGTTCTTGGGAAAGGAGTAAAACAAGGCCGTGTATTGTCACCCTGCTTATTTAACTTATATGCAGAGTTGTTGTTGTTCAGTCCCTAAGTCATGTCTGATTCTTTGTGACCCCATGGTTTGCAGCACACCATACTTCCCTGTCCTTCACTATCTCACAGAGTTTATTCAAACTCATGTCCATTGAGTCAGTGATGCCATCCAACTATCTCATCCTCTGTTATCCCCTTCTCCTCTTGCCCTCAATTTCAATCAAACAACCCAGGATCACGGCTGGTCCCAATGAGGCAGCTCTTCGAATCAGGAGACCAAAGTATTGGAGCTTCAACTTTCAGCAGCAATCCTTCCAACGAACAGAGTACATCATGGGAAATGCCAGGCTTGATGACTCACAAGCCGGAATCCAGATTGCTGGGAGAAATATCACAACTTCAGATATGCAGATGATACCACTCTAATGACAGAAGGGTAAGAGCAACTAAAGAGCCTCTTGATGAGAGTGAAAGCGTTAAGAGTGAAAAAGCTAGCTTAAAACTTAACGTTCAAAAAACTAAGACCACGGCATCCAGTCCCATCACTTCACGGTAGATAGATGGGGGAAAAGTGGAAATAGCAGCAGATTTTATTTTCCTGGGCTCCAAAATCACCATAGACAGTGACTGCAGCTATGAAATTAAGACACTTGCTTCTTGGAAGGAAAGCTATGACAAACCTAGACAGCACATTAAAAAGCAGAAACAGGGACTTCCCTGCTGGCCCAGTGGTTAAGACTCTGAGCTCCCAATGCAGGGGGCCCAGGTTTGATCCCTGGTCAGGGAACTAGATCCCACATGCTGCAACTAAGACCTAGTGCAGCCAAATAAATGAATAAATATTAAAAAAAAAAAAAAGCAGAAACATCACTTGCCGACAAAGGTCCATAGTCAAAGCTATGGTTTTTCCAGTAGTCATATATGGATGTGAGAGTTGGACCATAAAAACAGCTGAGCACTGAACAATTGATGCTTTTGAACTATAGGAAAAGACTGTTGAGAGTCCCTTGGACTGCAAGGAGATCAAACCAGTTAATCTTAAAGGAAATCAACACTGAATATTCATTGGAAGGACTCATGCTGAAGCTGAAACTCCATTACTTTGGCCACCTGATGTGAAGAGTTGATTCACTGGAAACGACCCTGATGCTGGGAAAGACTGAAGGCAGGAGGAGAAAGGGACGACAGAGGATAAGATGGCTGGATGGCATCACTGACTCACTGGACATGAGTTTGAGCAAACTCTGGGACATAGTGTAGAACAGGGAAGCCTGGTGTGCTACAGACCACGAGGTTGCAAAGAGTTGGACACTACTTAGTAACTGAACAATAATAATACTTAGAAAAAGATCATGCAAGGAAAAACTAAGGAACTGTTTCAGATTGTGAGACTAAAGAAAACTAAATAAAATGTGTAATTCTAACTAGATTCTTTACTATAAATGATGTTTCTGGAACAACTGGCAAAACTTCAATGTGGGCTGAGGAGTAACAATGCGTTGATTTTCTGATTTTGATGGTTGTGTTCTGGGTATGTAGAATGTCCTTATTGTAGGAAATGGACAATATTGGGTAATCTGGCATCTTTTCTGGTAACTTAGTTTCAAATGATTCAGGGGAAATTCTTTGTACTACACCTGCAACTTTCTAAAAATCTGAAACGATTTCAAAAAAGGTTTTAATGCACAAACTATAAAAGCTACAAACAAAATCAGTTAAATCTGAGTTAAAGAAGTGTCAGATAAAATAATGCCAAATTTCAAATTATCAAGACAATAACTTGAAGACTGATAACATCCACTGGTAGTGGCATCACCGACTCAATGGACATGAGTTTGAGCAAGCTCCAAGAGTTGGTGATGGACAGGGAAGCTTGGTGTGCTACAGTCCATGGGGTCACAAAGTGTCAGACATGACTGAGCGACTGAAGTGAACTGAACTGAAATGAACTGACTAGTACTGAGAAAGTAGAAAAACGTTAATTTCTCCAAATTTACACGTCAACTGGCAGTTATCTCCCAAGATTTTTAAACAACAGTTTCTCTGAGTTGGAAATTCCATTCTAAACCCTTTTACAACCCCTCCTCCTTCAAGGATAAGCTTGGAACCCCTTTTAAGAACTCCCAGAATGGCCAGTTTATACTTATTTCATTGCACTCACCTCACTACATTGTAATTATTTCCTTATATACCCATTTTCTCTTTTGAACTAAACATCTTCAGGGCAGGAATCATGTTTCTCTGCACATCTGGGCCTATCACAGAGGTTCAAAATGGACAGGCTATAGAGAGTTGGTGAGTTGGAGATCAAGACATTCTAAGTAAATAGATCAGCATCAAAAAATCACTGAGGTAAATGAGTATCTGAATGTATTTGGCAAAAGGTAAGTAAAACTGAAAACATGAACTGGAATAAAACAAGACACGAAAGGGGCATTAGAGCTAACAGTGGGAGGAACTTTTCATGAGTAATACGAAAATGTGAAGTATCGAGAAGTCAATTTGAAATGGGTACATTTTTCAGACAAATTACCTATGTAAAACTTATACTTCAGGTTCAGTAAAAAGCGAGTTTGAAAGATCATTTAGCATTTTAGAACCAGAAGATACAAAAATCATAGCAAATAGTTTTAAAACAAAATTATTAACAATAAAATGCATTGAACTGGGTTCTAGGCTTCAAAAGCATAATTTAAAAGGCAAGCTGTCAAGAACCTTGTGGGAGCATTCTTTAAAATTAAGCACAGCATCACTTTCAAGCCCAGACTGGCTTCTCTGGCCAAAGCGGCCTCAACAGAAACTTCCCTTCAAGTTCTCCACTCACTCCACCAGACGTGCTGGTCTGTCCTCCTTAGAGTTCCTGGAGCACTTCTTTCCCAAAAGCTGGCTGATAAATAGGACTGCCCAAGGTTAAGACCACCATCCACCTATATCTAAAACAAAGAAGTTAAATGTATTGCTTGCAAAGAAATCTGGCTTCACATAGGAAGTGCTGATCTTATCACAGTTGAGAAACAGTAGTACAGGGATTGGCCACATTTCACAGGATGGTTCCCAAGCTGTTCCTGACAGGCCAACTCTCAGGAGGAAGGCACTGAAAAGAGGCTTCCAGTGATCAGGCAAGTTTTAAAGGGGTCTGCAAGTACTTGTTCAAGGCTTGGGAGAAGGGCCAAAAAAGTCTTCTTGAACCTGCAGAATAGGAGCTTTTTATTCTCAACTGTACACGCTCCCATTCCCTCATCATTGTTACTGTGGTTCCCTCCCTCAAAACAAGCACACAGGTCCATTCAATTTAAAGAAAAAGTTTCCTGTTTATAGCACTTACTGTTTTAGGGAAACCAAGTAAACATAATAAAATAAAACACAGGTAAATCACAGAAGTTCTGTCAAGATCCTTGGCCTACTGTTGCCAATCACTTTGGGGGAAAAAAGCTGACTTTTACCATAATTTATCCATTCTCTAAGAGATGCAAGATTCTACACAAAAGGCCAAGTGGACTAATTAGCTGGAAAAGAAGTTGCTGAATGCTTCCATATCTATAGATCCTTTACTGATGCTATTCTCGATATATTCTTAGTACTCAATTAAATCTGTATTTTCACTATTAGGAAACAGCAGGCTAATGCAGCTGTACTATCTACCAAGTTCAGTTCACAGTAAATTATTCTTTTCTTTTGTATATTATTATTATTTTCAGCTGTGATCGGTGCTCGTTGCTGCACACATGCTTCCTCTAGTTGCAGGGAGTGGGGCTTCTCTAGTTGCAGAGCATGGGCTCTAAAAGCACAGGCTTCAGTAGTTGCAGCATGCAGGCTCAACAGCTGCACCATGCAGGTTCAGCAGTTGTGGCTCACGGGCATATTGGCTGCACAGTAGCTTCTGGAATCTTCCTGGATAAGCGACAGAACCTGTGTCCCCTGCACTGGCAGGCAGATTCTTATCTACTCTATCATCAGGAAAGTCCCACAGTAAATTACCTTTAATTTCACAGTGTGTGGTAGACACGAATTTACCAAAAATTGCATTCAAGTGCAAAAGAAAATATTATATTCCAAAGAGGCACTTAAAGGGTTTTTGCTGGTTTTTAGTATCACGATCATTTAAGAATACTCCATTATCAAAAAATACACTGTAAAAAAAGTCATTCTGGTAATAAACAGTACTTTTTTAAGTCACAGAACTTTCTTGTAAGTTCCTATGAAATCTAAGTTCTGAAACGATTTCACTTGCAAAACAATCCAGAACAATGATCTCACAAGCAAGACTCTGGAGCTACACTGCCTGAGTTCAAGTTTACCACAGTTTACTACTAGTTGTGTGATCTTTAGCAAGTTACTTAATCCCAGGGCCTGTTTCTTCTGTAAAACACGGACTGCACAACCGACTCTGAGAAGTAGTTTTGAGGAAGAAAATTCATTTAACACAAGAAAAGCACTTAGAACATAAGACTGTGAATTTGCTATTATCTAACTCCAAAAACTTAAAATGCAACATTCAAAAAACTAGCATCCTGGCATCCAGTCCCATCACTTCATGGCAAATAGAAGGAAAAAAAGGGGAAGCAGTCACAGATTTTGTTTTCTTCAGCTCCAAAATCACTGCTGACAGTGACTGCAGCCATGAAATTAAAAGACGCTTGCTCCTTGGAAGGAAAGCTATGACAAACCTAGACAGTATTAAAAAGTAAAGACATCACTTTGCTGACAAAGGTCTGTATAGTCAAAGCTATTGTTTTTCCAGGAGTCATATACAGATGTGAGAGCTGGACCATAAAGAAAGCCGAACACCCAAGAATTGATGCTTTTGAATTGTGGTGCTGGAGAAGACTCTTGAGAGTCCCTTGGACTGAGAGATCAAACCAGTCCATTCTAAAGGAAATCAACCCTGAATATGCACCAGAAGGACTGATGATGAAGCTCCAATATTTTGGCCACCTGATGTTAAGAGCTGACTCACTGGAAAAGACACTGATGCTACAGAAAGACTGAATGCAAAAGATGAGGGCAGCAGAGAATGAGATGGTTACAGATAGCATCATGACTCAGTGGACTGAATCTGAGCAATCTCTGGGAGATAGTGGAGGACAGAGGAGACTGGAATCCTGCAGTCCATGGTGGGGGGGGGGGGGGGGGGCGGGGACACGGACTTTGGTGTTGGCAGAGTCAGACATGACTTAATGACTGAACAACAAGCTCCCAAAATTCTAAGTGAAATGTTGAAACTACTGGAATACAGGGGTGGTTGTGTTTTTTTTAAAGTAACTAAAAACACATGGTATTTATACAATACATGAAAGCAAGAGTCAAAGGTCTGGGTTCAAATACAAGAAGATCCCTTCTCAGACATGTCGCCTTCAGCAAGTCCTCACCATTCAGTCTTCTCCTTGTAACACATTGCCAACATGTGTGACAACCATGTGATAACCAGAGTGGCAGCCACAGCAGAATATTGGGGTGTGACCACTCAAAGTGACTACAACCATAAATTCACCAGAAATATATTGCAAACTTGGATCAAATTAAAAAGGTGTCCCAGATATCGTCAGATAGACTCCCTGGTAGCTCGCACGGTAAATAATCTGGGTTCCATCTCCGGGTCAGGAAGATCCCCTGGAGAAGGGAACCCACTCCAGTATTCTTGCCTGGAGAATTCCGTCGACAGAGGAGCCTGACAGGCTACAGTCCATGGCGTCACAGAGTCGGGCACGACTTTCTCTCACTCACTACGGGAGAGGTAGGTAGAGTGCTTACAAGAATTCTGTGTGTATATGAGTTGCTCAGTCGTGCCTGACTCTTTGCGACCCCATGGACTACAGCCCACCAGGCTTCTCTGTCCATGGAATTCTTCAGGCAACACAGGAGTAAATTGCCATTTCCTTCCCCATCCTCTCCCTACACCAATCTTCAATTCCTAACCCTAAAACCAGCTCTCATATCCTTACCACTGCTCAGTCAGACGAGTGAGCCTATCTCCTCCCAACTCCAATCCCCCTCCAGCCTAGCACCAGTACTCTTAGGACACACAGATCGGTCACTTCCATGTCTAAAGACCACTGCCTCAACAAACTCCCAATGACAACTAGAATACCAAAGTTCGTTCATAACATGGCTACCTCCCCAGTAACAAGCTACATGTTTGTAAACATGTATGTTTAAACAAGTTACACATACATTACTTGACTTCCAACCAAAGCCGAACACGCGCTTTCCTCAACTCGCGTTTTTTACGTGGTCCACTCTCCCAGAACGCTCCTCCCGACTCCTCCCGAGCCCTGTGGGGCTTGCCCGTGCCCTGAGGCACTTGCCCATCTGCATCATAAATCACCACAGACAAGAGTCCTCCAGATCTCAAGAGGCTGCCATTACCCATTCCATTCAATTATAAAGAGTTTTAAGAGCATCCCGCCAAGCCTCTCATTCAAATTCAAAGAAAATACTTTAAAATTTAATTATTTAACAACCGTTCAGTTAGAACTGGCGGCTATTTTCGACGTTCCCAAGCCAAGAGTCAGGAGAAATTCTGCGCGCTCTACGTCAGTGCGGTGAACGGCGGCATGTGAAAAGTTCAACTGTAATGTCAACATCTGCACGTCATCAGTATTCACACCGAGAACGCCTGGGTGAAGGAACTGGGGCTCCTCTCAGCTGTGCGCTCCTCCAGAAAAAACCCGCCACTGGGCAAGCGGCTGAGCGCGCCTCTGCCCGGCCCGCGTCCGCGCTTGCTCCGGGCGGCCCTCCGGCTTCCAGCCCGCCCCCCTCCCGACCCTCCCCGGCCGCCGCCCTGTCCCCGCGTCCCCCTCGCCCTGATGCCGTCCCCCGCCCCACCCCCCAGGCCCCATCACCGCCCCCCTCGACCCCGGCCCCACGTGACGCCTCGACGGGCGCCCTTTGGGCCGTGAGCCCCGCGCTGGCAGAACGTCGCGGGATTAGAGAGGCGGCCACGGGCCACCGGGTGTGGGCGGGGTGGGGCGGAGCCGCCGCCGGGACTTCGCGGGCCGGGCCAGGGGCGTCGCCGCGGTCCGGGCCGGGGTTACCTACCGCTAGGCGCCCGCAGCGCCGCCGCGTCCCTAGCACGTCTGGCCGCGCCCGCTGGGGCCCCGCGCCCGCCCGCCTCCGCCCCGCGCGGCGGGACCCCCGCTCGGCGCGCGCCACCCCGCGCGACCCCGTCCCCTCCTCCCAGCTCGGCCAGAAAGAGAAAATGGCGCTCGATTGGCCTCCGGAAGTGACGCGCACCCTTATTTGCATGCCGATGCAGTCAACCAATGGGAGAAGAGCATGCATGGGACCCCCCCCCCCCCCGCCTCTGGGCACTGTCCCACAGGCCCCTTTGGGCCCCTGCCTTAAGCTGAACTGGAGGGTCAGCAGTGGGAATGGGGTTTTGTATTGAAGCCCCCTCCCCTGACCCCACTCTTGACACAGTGATCTGGCCTGCTAGCCTCTCCCCATATCCACAAACTCTCGTGAGAGTGTGAATGATGACGTCAATGGAGGGGTGGGGCTGACGTCGTTCGTCACGTGACCAATCACGTGGGTCCCTAGAGCTTTGGGTTCATTTGCATGAAGTGGGGTGGAGCTACTGGCTGTAGCAGGAAGAGGTGGCCCCGCCCACATCTCAGAGCCAATGGGAAACCAGCTGTGAGGTGAATCCTGCCCTATCATTGGAGGATAGAACTTGAACTATCAGAACTTTGACAAGGATGCCCTTGATACATCTTGGTGAACTGACTGGATAGGGTCTCCTGACTTCGTAATTATATCCTAAGAAAATTAATTTCACACTTTTTCTTGAGAATTCTGATTTTTAAGTTAGAGCTACTACGTGCTGTGTAGGAAGAAAGTTAATTGCATACATTTATAAAAATTCTTAAATGGCTTATAAGTTCACTTTTGCCCAGCTTTGTAAAAAAAAATGTGAAGGGATAATATACTTCTCAAAATGAATGTACCATCGCGTGAAAGGAGCCTTCAAAATGCCTATGGGTCTTCAACTGTTGAGTAAAGCGCCCAAGGGGTAAGGATAGAGCCACACTGCCCTCAGGGAACTTGCAGTTTAATGGGGAGGCCTGCTGTGTAGGCAAACAACTATTTTAATTTCTCGCTCCTCAAAGACTACTCCAGCCCTTTCTCCCTTCATTGAAGCTGCCGAGGCAATACCTGTTCCGCCTCAACTGACTTTTCAGCACAAGACCATGTCTACTTCTTCCAGAACACCAAGACCATCAGACGTGGTCTCCATCTATCTCTTCCGGCCCCACGTGCACATCTTTTCCTCAGCGCCATCCTGATCAGGGTACGTGTCGGTTCATGCTCAGGGCCGGTCCCTTCATTCCTGGGCCTTGTTTGCCCCACCGGGCACCTCGTTGCCCAGCCATTCAGTTCAGTTCAGTCGCTCAGTCGTGTCCGACTCTTTGCGACCCCATGGACTGGAGCGTGCCAGGCCTCCTGTCCATCACCAACTCCTGGAGCCTACTCAAACTCATGTCCATTGAGTCAGTGATGCCATCCAACCATCTCATCTTCTGTCGTCCCCTTTTCCCGCCACCTTCAATCTTTCCCAGCATCAGGATCTTTTGAAATGAGTCCGTTCTTCGAATCAGGTGACCAAAGTATTGGAGTTTCAGTTTCAACAGTCCTTGCAATGAGTATTCAGGGCTGATTGCATCCTTTAGGATTGACTGGTTGGATCTCCTTGCAGTCTAAGGGACTCTCAAGAATCTTCTCCAACACCACAGTTCAAAAGCATCAATTCTTCAGCGCTCAGCTTTCTTTATAGTCCAACTCTCACATCCATCCATGATTACTGGAAAAACCATAGCCTTAACTAGACAGACCTTTGTTGGCATTCCTCTCCCCTAATTTCAGCTTCTCTCTTTTTATGGGTAACTTCTGCTCAGTTTAACCCAATGACTAAAAACATAAGTGGCACTAAGTAAATGTATGAATTAATTTTAAAATGTTCTTGAGTGCTGGGTTGATATTACTGAACCACAATTTGTTTTTTTCTCTACAAGAATCCTAGCCATAATTGAAGGAGAATTTGCTCTTTATAGTTATTTATGAATTATGATTTAATTTTATAATAAGTCACAGCAGTAAAGGGGTATGATGTCCCTATACATCTTTCTTGAAGAAATGGGTGGGATGAAAAGTACAGCCTTCCAGTTACCCTTGACCCAGACCATGGGGCTCCAGTGGGAGGATTGTAGCACATTTCTCCAAATGTCTTACTGCTTTCACTCCTCACCATGTGCTCTCTTGCGCCACCCTCAGCTGCATCTAAGAGCAGGAAATTACAGGTATCCCTTGATCACCAGGGCTTCCCTGGTGGCTTAGCTGGTAAAGAATCCACCTGCAATGTGGGAGACCTAGGTTCAATCCCTTGGTTGGGAACATCCTCTGTAGAAGGGAAAGGCTACCCACTCCAGTATTCTGGTCTGGAGAATTCCATGGACTGTATAGTCCACGGGGTCACAAAGAGTCAGACATGACTGAGAGACTTTACTTGGTCACCAGTGACTTCCTAACTGTTAAAGCCAAGAACAGATTTTAGTCCTCATCTTCCCTTTCCTGAAGCCCTTCCCTCACAGCATGACCTCTAATCTTCTCCAACCTAGCTGATTAGTCCTCACACCTTTACTAGCTTCCCCTTCTTAGCACATCCTTAAACATTTGCCCCATAATTCCTGCCATTTTTGTCCATGTTCATCACCACGTCCTGTGTGCCAGGATGGAACCCCCATCCCTTTCAGTCATCACTCTCCATTCTCTCCCTTGTTAATCTCAACGGCAGATTCAAACTTCACTATTTTGATTCCAGTGTATCCACCTCTCTCCTGAGTTCTGGATGCCAACTGGGCAGCTCCACTTGGGTGCCCCACCCACACCACAGGGTCCAGGTGCTCAAGGCCAAGCCATTACCCCTCCTCCACAGCCCCTGCAAGAGTAATCAGTGTGTTTACCTAGCCTTCATTTTTCCCGTCTCCAGTTCTCTAACTTTATGTCCTAACGCTTCTCTCCTGTAGCCCTCCTACCACGTGTGCCTCTCCTGGTGGGAACACCTGCACAGGTCAGGCACACCCCTGATCTTCAGCTCAGGTGTCTCTGGGAAACCTTCCAGTCAGCCATCCTGGAGATCTAGTGAAAGCAAGTCTGACCCTGTTGCTTCCCTTCTTCCCTTCAGCCATTCCGACAGTTGCTCAGCTTGAACACAAGCTCTCCGGTGCTGACCATCCCCAACCCATCTCCTGCTCACACAAACACTGCACAGTATTTGTTCATGGGATTCCTTCCTTTTACACAACCTGAACTGATGTCTATCCCATTGCCATTCAAGGCTGAGTTCTGCTGGCTTCTCTTCTAAGATCTCCCTGACCACCAGCACCACACACGTACATGTGGCAAGATGTGATGGGTTCCTCTAGATAGTCACAGAACAGTTGGTGTGTATCCAACACTGCACTAACTGTGTGATCCTCATTTGCAATGTATCTGTCTCTCTCAGGGAGTGCTGTACCAACAGGGACCATGTCTCCTGGTCATCACTGTATCCCTGATGCCTAGGTTACTTTAATATAATTTGTAATAATATTTTGATAAACATAATAAACCTTTAATAAATGTTGAGTGAATTCATTTTTCTCCCAACACCTTATACAAGTTTTTAAACATATTGAATAGTTGAAATACATGTACAGTGAACATCATCACCTATATCTTACAATTAACGATTTTGCTGTATTTGCTATATCACCCAGCTATCCAGCTATTCATCTTTTTCAATTTTTTATTGAAGCAGAGTTGATTTACAATGTTTGTAAAGCAAAGTTGATTTACAATTTACAATGTTACAAAAATTACAAGGAATCACTGCTTTACAGCAAAGTGTTAAACACATATAGACATTCTTTTTTACATACTTTTCCATTATGATTTATCATAGGGTATTGAATATAGTTCTCTGTGCTAGACAGTAGGACCTTGTTGTTTATCCATCCTGTATATAATAGTTTATATTTGCTAGTTCCAAACTCCCAGTCCCTCCCTCCCCAACCCCTACCCCCTGGATGGCCACAATTCTGTTCTCTCTCTGTGAGTTTGTTTCTGTTTTGTAGATAAGTTCATTTATGCCATATTTTAGATTCTACATATAAGTGATAACACATGGTATTTGTCTCTTTCTGACTTACTTCGCTTAATATAACCTCTAGTTGCATCCATGTTGCTGCAAGTGGCATTATGTCATTCTTTTTTATGACTAAGTAGTTTTCCATTTCATATATGTACCACATCTTCTTTATCCATTCATCAGGCAATGGACATTTATGTTGTTTCCATACTATTGTGAATCAACTTTTCATCTCTTCTACCATCTTTTTTAATGCACTCAAAAGAAATTGCAGATATCAGTCTACTGTGTCCCTAAACACTTCAGCACACATGGATATGTTACCAATGACATTTAAAACTACAATCAACAGCTTTGATGTTGAAAGGACTGCCCCTCCCCACGACAGAGGAATGAGCAATATGACCCAGAGGGACTCAGTCATCAAAGCATTCAAAATCAGAAGTTAGACCTGAGGGCGTATATGCTGGATATGTCACAGCACAAGCAAGTTTGTTCTGCTTCTTCTCAATCTACTTGGTGTCAGTACAAGTACCAGATGCTTTGCTTTTAGTTGTTCAGCTGGATCTAAATAGCCTGTTGCTGGACTTTTTCTACACTGTCATCTGGTTCCTTCTATAATCAGCATCAGCTTTTGTAAAAATAACTGTCCACCACAAAAAGAGCAATCTGGGTGACCAAAGAGCCCCAGAGCCTGACATGTCAGCTCACAGGGGGAGCCCTTTGGGAGGGTGCTGCCTTGAGGGTCCCAGCTTCCAGATAAAAGTGACAAATCATATATATATATAAGTGTTTTCCTCTGGGCAGACCCAGCCCCACATCAGGGGACACACCTTTGCAAGCAGAGAGGGCTGGATTTCCAAGTCACATAGGCAACTATACCTGGCAACGCACAAAGAGACAACTGTACACATGCCCATCTAAATAAAATACATCTCTAAGGTTCATCCAAATCCACTGACATTTGTATGGAAAGATATTCTTTGTGAACACCTTAGATGTGATCTTGCCTTTCTCACCTTTGATCTACATTTATTTGTGTCTGCTAGACACCAAAGAGACAGTAATGAGCAGAAAACAGAAGAAACTCAATCCCTGGTTTCATAGAGCTTAGAGAATGGTGAGGGAGATCGTCATTAGTGAAATAAGAACACAGTGAAAGTTTAATTATAACCTGACCAAACGCTCCTGAAAAAGGTAGACTCTCCAAGCATCCACATCCCAGAGACCTGATCTGGAGGTACATTCTTGCAAGAGTGGCAACCTGAAGTCAGAAGGACAAGTCAGCACAAGTGGGTCAAGGCAGCAAGTGGTGGTGAGGGGAGACGATTGCAGGCAGTGGGAACAGCCCTGCGAAGTCCTTCCCTTCACTGTACTTCCAGTCTGTCCTCCAACCGTTTCTTTCTGCTTCTCAGGTTCTCCAGAATTATGTCTCACAAGCTGTTTTAATCAAATTAATCCTGCCTTAATGAAGAAATAGCAAAACATTGGGAATTTCTGATCTCCCAGTGGTATTTTTAAGTTTTTTATTAGAAGAGAGATATAAGTACTTTTAGGGGGGAAAAGTCATCATTTAAAAATTGGTTTACACATACTTATTCCCAAACTGAAAAATAAATCATCATAAAAGGTAGTGAAGGGGAAGAAGAATTAATATATAATTTTCAAAAAGCATAGAGATGTTACTGCCTCATTTCCCAGATGAGGAAACAGCAACTCAGAGAGATTAAGTAGGTATCTGAACTCACACTCCCAACTGCGTGCAGACAGGCCTTCCAACTCTTCAATCTTGGTCTTCCCATTTTTCTGCACGAGTGCCCACAGGTATCGATAACCACCCATGAACATCTGAACCTGCAAGAAAAGCACAGCATAGCCTCACCCACCTCCCACCTGAGCCAGCAAATTTGCATTAAAGGCTTCTAAACCTCTTTTCTGGTCATCTTTTTCCTCCATGTCTAATTTAGCTTAACTTTCCGGGTTTTGCACAAGTTCAGAGCCATCAACAGACGACACTGGGACTTCATCTACCAAGCCATTTCTCTGTGTCCTCCCCACTGTGATTGAAACAGCTTTTACGGCTGGACATGCCTCTCTACTCCTGCCTTTGTCGCTGTCTTTTCTTTCATGAAGTGCTGGTTCCAAACGGCTGAAAATGGAGGTGATTTTTGTTCATTTACATATTAGAACATGCTCTGAGTTTCTTTTAAAGAGCCATGGGAAAAAATAATTTCCAAATTGTTTAGAGGAAAAGTTTATGTTTGCATTTTAAAATAAAATCTCAGTGAAGCTCACTTGGACAACTCACTCTGAACCCCAACAAAGCGGATGGCTCTCCAGGGGACATACTCAGGTTCTCAAGCACTCTGCAGAGCATCCTGGAAGGTGCAAATGAAATAGCAGGCAGTTAAGGAAGCTTTGAAAGTAGACATTTACAAAAATTCAAACTATATATTCTATATGGAAAACAAAACAGTATAATACCTAACTCAGAATTTCTCCTTTATCAAAATTGTCATCTTAATAAATTTCACTCTTTTCCTGCAAAGGCAGAATGCTCATCATTCTTCTAATAGGCTCAAGGCTTAAAACTTAGCCTTTAAGATAAAAGCAATTTCCTCATATCTATCTCCAACATTAAGTGCATCACACACAAGCTTGTCTGCACAGTGCAGTATGTTTACATGTGCTCTCTATTCATTTCTTTTGGCTTCCTTATTGGTTTCCTCCTATCCTTCTCTTTTGGGTTTTACTGTCCTTTATCTAACTCAAACTGTAAAGTTCAGAAGTAAAATTTTTGTCTGGCCTTGCCCTGCTACACTGCTAATGCTCAGAAATCATAAATGGGAACCAGTACTGTCTGCCCAGTGGATGGTCTAGGTTTGCACTAACTCTTGGTACAGCTGCACCCCCTATGATAGCTGCAGGAGGTGAGGATCAGCTACCAACGGAGCCCTGTTTTGATGTTCTGATAATACTGACCTCCAGCTTTCAGAGGGGTCTCCGTGGTCCCAGGAGTCATAGCCACTGTCAACAGCAGTCCCTGGTTCCCCTGCCCCTCCCTCCAAGCCCAGACAGACACCGACCAGGGCCCCTCCCTGGTCTCCCCCATTAAAATAACAAGCAACCCAGCTTAAAAATCGGCAAAGGACCGCAACAGACATTTTTCCGGAGAAGACACACACGTAACCAACAGGCACCTGAGAAGATGCTCAGTGTCACTAGTCATAAGAGAAATGCAAACTAAACTGAGATGTCACCTCCGCACCTGTCAGATTTCGGCTACTGTCAAAAAGACAGTAACAACTGTTGGTGAGGATGTGAAGAACAGGGAACTCTCATGGACTGCTGGTGGGAATGTAAATTGATGCAGCCTATATGGAAATTCTTTCTAAAATTGAAAACAGAACCACCATAAGATCCAGCAGTCTCTCTGGAGGAATTCAGAAGGTGAGTTGAATGGAGGGCTCCTGGCTTGTGGTTCTCAGACCGAGAGAAGGAAATGGATGTTTTGTTTGCAATCGTCAGTTCAGAAGAGACCACACCACCCGGTCCTCCGGCGAGTTCCCTGCCAGGGCGAAAGATACAGTCCCTTCAAAGTCGCTCAGGAGTCTGCCCCGAGCACCAGAGACTGGGTTCACACCTGCCGTGTTCTAGCAGGCGGTCCAGTCCCGCAACGCAGGAAACCATTTTCTAGATTTTCTTTTAAGCAAGGAACGTTCTGCTTTACAAGCTTGCAGAAGAACGTTGAGCGCTTTTCCCGCCTACAGTCGGTGGAGCGAGCGGGACCCGGCCTGGCAGGAACTGCGACCTGGCGCGCGAGAAACCGGGATAAGGTTCCCCGCCGGCTGCCCGCCGCCCCCGGTCCCGGGTCAGAGACGCCTCTTCCCGACGACCCTCCCCCCCCCCCGCCCCCAACCCTCTCCAGGCTAAAGGGAAGCTCTGCTCCCGGCTCAAAGCAGCTGGAGGTGCTTCCCGAGACGTAGAGACCCGCGTCCCCGCCGGCACCGCCGGCGGAGGGGTTTGCCCGGGACCCTCGGAGGAGCCTGCCCGCGGCCTGGGGAGGGGGAAGCCGGGGTCGCCCGCGCCGCGTGTCCAGCGCACCGGGCGGGGCCGGCAGCGGCTTCCGCTCGGCCGGGGGAGCCAGCACACAGCCCCCGCGCCCGCGCGAGCTCCAGGCCGGCGCTGCAGGTGGCAAGAGCAGGATGAGGGGCTGGGGCGAAGCTCTCCCACTTGGCTCGGCGGCTGGAGTGGTTTCCTCCTCAGACCTCGGAGCCGACCAGGCTTCAGGGTTCCGCCCTTCAATCCAGTTGCACTGCGACCCCCGCCCGGGGCGCAGGAGAGTGTGGACGGCCGCCAGGCCGCGGGCAGACCCTGTCCTGAGAGCCGAGCGGGGCGCGAGCCACGGGGCGGGCGCACCCGGCCGGCAGCGCCTCCTCGCGCAAGACACGGCGCTGCCTGGGCGCCCGGCGGCGGGGCGGCCGGGGCTGCCCCTCCGACCCAGACGCGACACGGAGGTCCGCGCGCGTCTCCAGACCCCGAGCCCGGGGCGCGACGCAGGTGTGTCTCGGTCACTCCGCGGCGGCATGCGCCGCCCCGAGCCGGCCTGTGGCGCCCACGGGGCTCCGGTCCACGTGTGCGGCGGGGAGACCCGCGACCCCCGGGGAGCAGCGGGGAAGGGCGAAGGGCGGTGCCCGGGGGGATCCTCCCGGAGATGCTCAGTGGATCATAGCGCGTGCACCCGGGCCGGCAGCGCCGTGTCCCCGGGGAGCTCCCTAGATACGCAGATGCTCGGGCCTCAGGCCTGTGACCCCAGAGAGGTGGTCGGCCGCGTCCGGTGTTACCGAACCCCGGGGTGTACACTGAGGAACGGCTGACCTACCTGACGAAGTAACAGACGCTGATGGAGTTCCTTAGCTTGAGACGCCTGGACTCAGCCCCCGTTTCCGCAGCAGTTTCGCAGAGAAAGAGTTCACCGACGTGCTCACGAGGCTGGTTCGAGGGTTTCATTAGGTCAGCTCTTGCCAACTTCTCGTGATTAGCGTGGACGCCAGGCGTCTTCTGGGGGCTCCGGCGGCCGCCAGGGGCGGACTGTCCCGCAGGACCCGAGCGGGCTTCAGCGTCTGGGGTGGGGGGCTGCCTGCTGCCTTCTCGGGGCACTAAGCACCCGCCGGCAGGAGCCGGCTTGGCCTGTTTCCCTGTTTGTAAGATAAGGACTGAGCGTGCAAGCCCGCGCCTTTCTGCTCCCCTCCGCTCCCCGCTCACCGCCCCGCCCCCGCCGCCTTTTTCCATCCCTGAATTGCTCCACTGCTCCCGCCTCACTGCCCCGGGACACACGCTCCTGTCGCATGCTGGAAAGGACCCCAGAGACAAAAGGAAGGCAACAACCCCATAGGTAGCCAGAAAATAGCCTGCCCACCGGGGCACGGGCAGGTCAGGTGTGTAAAAGGATGCGCAGTTCCCAACTGAAGGCTCCCTCTTCCCATGATGGGCTCCGCTCCGCACAGGTTAGGACCGCTGCCTCTGGCTGTACCATTTACCTTCTCAACAGTGTGCAAGTGTTCTCATTTCTCCACATCCTCGCCAACACTTGTAATTTTTTTAACAGTAGCCATCCTAATGGATGAGTTGGTATCTTGTAGGTTTTTTTTTTTTCTTTTTGACACCATATAATTATTTTGAAAAGCTATTTTTTACATGATCAAGTCTTCGTTCCTTTTTGTTTTTAGAAGGAATGCCCTTCATTTTTTGTTTCCTTCTTTTGTGGCAAGGGTATACCTTCCATGTTTTTGCTTTTTAATATTTATTGAAATTTAATTTGTGGTCTTAAAGTGAAGTCACTCAGTCTTGTCCGACTTTTTGCGACCCTATGGGCTGTAGCCTACCAGGATCCTTTGTCCATGGAATTTTCCAGGCAAGAGTACTGGAGTGGGTTGCCATTTCCTTCTCCATATCTTGTAGTTTTGATTTATTGTTCAGCATTTCCCTAATGATTAGTGCTGTTGAGCATTCTTTTTATATGGTTACTGGTCATTTGTACATCTCTGGAGAGAATTCTACTTATTCCTTCGCTTGTTTTTGAATTGTTTTGTTGTCACTTGTGTTGTAAGCATTATCTATTCTAGATTTTAATTCCTTATCAGACATGATTTGCAAGTATTATCTCCCAGTCTGTGGACTGCCTTTTTATCTCATTGATAGTGTCTTGGCACAAAAGATTCTCACAAAGTTTGCCTATGTTTCCTTTTGTTGCCTATGCCTTTTGTGTAATATCCAAGAAATCATTGCCAAATTGAGTGTTTTGAAGCTCTAGTCCTATGTATTCTTTTAAAAGTTTTAGTGTTAAGTCTTTATGTGGCTTGTGGGGTCTTAGTTCCTCAACCAGGGGTTGAAACCATGCCTTTGGCAGTGGAAGCATGGAGTCCCAATCACTGGACTGCCAGAGAATTCTCTATATTGCTAAGTCTTACATTTAGGTCTTTGATACACCTGACCTGTCTCCTGAGAAATATATGCTGGTCAAGAAGTAAGTTAGAACCAGATGGGGAACAACAGACCAGCTCAAAATTGGGAAAGGAGTACTATAAGACTGTATATTGTCACCCTGCTTATTTAACTTACACACAGAGTACATCAAGAGAAATGCCAGACTGGATGAATCACAAGCTGGAATCAATATTGCCAGGAGAAATACCAACAACTTCAGACATGCAGATAATAACACTCTATTGGCAGCAAGTGAAGAGCAACTAAAGAGCCTCTTGATGAAGGTGAAAAAAGACAGTGAAAAGGCTGGCTTGAAACTCAACATTCAAAAAAAAAAAAAAAAACACAACACCATGGCATCCAGTCCCATCACTTTAGGGCAAATAGAAGGGGAAAAAGTGAGAGATGTTATTTTCTTGACCTCCAAAATCATTGTGGTGATTGCAGCCATGAAATTAAGATGCCTGCTCCTTGAAAGGAAAGCTGTGACAAACCTAAACAACATAATAAAGAGCAGAGACATCACTTTGACAACAAAGGTTCATAGAGTCGAAGCTATGGTTTTTCCAGTAGTCAAGTAAAGATGTGAGTTGGACCATAAAGAAGCCTCAGAGCTGAAGAACTGACGCTTTCAGATTGTGGTGCTAGATTCCTGAAAGTCCCTTGGACAGCAAGGAGCTCAAACCAGTAGATCCTAAAGGAAATCAACCCTGAATGTTCACCAGGACTGATGCTGAATTCTCAATACTTTGGCCACCAGATGCAAAGAGCTGACTCATTGGAAAAGACTCTGATGCTGGGACAGATTGAGGGCAGGAGGAGAAGAGAGCGGCAGAGGTTGAGACGGTTAGATAGCATCACTGATTCAATGGATATGAATTTGAGCAAATTCTGGGAGATAGTGGACAGAGGAGACTGGTGTGCTGCAACCCATGGGGTTGCAAGAGCTGGACATGACTTAGCAACTTAACAAAATGTCCAACTTCATGCTTTTTTTTTTTTTCCTGTATTGGTCATGACACTTGGTATGTAGGATCTTAGTTCCCCGAACCAGGGATTGAACCCTTGCCCCCTGCATTTAAGTATGGAGTCTTAACCACAGGACTGCCAAAGAAGTCCTCCACCTTCACACTTTGGCATGTGGCATCTAGCTCTCCCAGCATCATTTACTGAGACTTCCCTTTCTCCACCAAACAATCTTGGCACCTTTGTCAAAAATCACCTGGCTATTTATGTGATGGTTCATTCCTGGGCTCTCTATTCTATTCCATTGGTCTATATGTCAGTCTTAAAGCCAATAGCACAGTTTTGATTACTGTTGTTTTTGCAATAAGTTTTCAAACTGGAAAATGAGTCATCCAGTTTAATTCCTTTTTCAGGATTGTGCTGGCTGCTCAGAGTCCCTTGAGATTCCTTATGAAATTTAGTATGAGCTTGACAATTCCTAGAGGAAAAAAAGAAATCAAGATTTTGACAGTGACTGCACTGGTCTGTAGAGTGCTTTGAGTAATACTGTTTTCATAAGTCTTCTAATCAGTTAATTTCTTTCAATATGTTTTGTAGTTTTCTTTGTACAAGTCTTTCTCATTTATGCTTAACTCCTAAGTATTTCTCTTTTTTGGCAGTATTGTAAATATAATTATTGTAATATCAGGTTTTGGGGTTTTTTTTTGCCATACCATATGGCTTGTGGGATCTTAGTTCTTCAACCATGAATTGAACCTAGGCTCCAGCAGCAAAAGTGCAGAGTCCTAAGCACTAGAATGTCAGGCAACACCCTGTAATCACTTTCAGATCACTCATTGCTCATGTATAGAAATGTGACAGCTTTTTCTGTGCTTTTAATCTTGCTACTTTGCAGGGCTCATTTATTAGATCTAACAGCTTTTCTTTGGTGTGGTATCTTTAAGATAGTCTATGTATAAGACCATATCACCTTCAAATAGATCATTTACTTTTCCCTCTCTAATTTGTAGGCCTTTTCTTTTCCCTGACTAATTGCTCTGGCTAGAACTTTCAGGACTATGTTGAATAGAAACGGTTTAAACAGGCAGGCATCTTTGTCTTGCTGCTGACCTTAGATGAAAAGCTTCCGGTCTTTCACCACTAGGTGTTGTTTGCTGTGGATTTTCTCATATAGATTTTACATTAAGGCGGTCTCCTTCTATTCCTACTTTGTTGAGTGTTTTTTCATGACAGGTGTTGAATTTTATCTTTTTTTTTTTTTTTTTGGCATCTTTTCAGATTATGTGGTTTTTCCTATCACTTTGTTGATGTGGCATGTAACACTGATGACTTTCATGTGTTGAACTTTTGCATTCCAGGGATATATCCCACTTGGTCATGGTGTTTAATCCTCTTGATATGCTGCTGAATCCTGTTCGCTAATATTCTGTTGATGATTTTCAACATCAGTGCTCATAAAGGATACTGTATTTCACTTTTCTTGTGTGTGTGGTTTTGGTGTTGGAGTTATACTGGCCTTCTAGAATAATTTGGTAAGTGTTCTCACCTCATTTTGGGGGGAGAATAGTTAGCATACTTTTATGAGCTCTGTTACATGGACAGCCCTGCCAGGCTTTGTTACATGCTTAGAATTCAGGCAGGATTTCACAATGAATTTTCTTACTTCTAAGTGGTTCTTCCTCCACTTTTGCTTTTCTGGTCACTAAAACACACACCCCACTGCTGGTGACCTTGTGACCAAGATTCGTGTGTATCTGATGTAATCTGCTTTGAAGACCCAGCAGTTGAGCATGGGAGCCAGATGGGGACAGTGACTCCTCCTGAGCCTCCTTGGTCCCAATAACATGTGATGCAGGCATCTAGCCTGCAAGCCAGTTTGCAAGTTGTGGGCCCGAGTAGGGACCAACATCAGGAGCTCAACTTCCGCAAATGGAAGGGCCAGTCTACACAACACGGACGCCAACACACCAACCTTGATGATGTGTTTGGTTGCTCTTTATGCAGCTCTCAGCCCACCCAAAACACCCATTACCCCCACTGCACTTCACTGACTCATTTCTGTGGAACCCGCATCAAGTGCTTCTCCAAAGCCAGTGCATGGGCCATCTGCACAGAGTGGAGACACAAGGGATTTTATGTTTGGGGCTGAGTGAAGAGGCTTTATTGAACATTTCAGAGTTCCTTCTGTACATATTCTTTGCAGAGCAGCTTACTTTAATAAGCTGGATCTAATAATGTCACAGTTCATGTTGAAAGGTGCTATGCATAAGTCAGTCTGAAAATGAAAACAATGCGGCAAGGACCTGCATTCTATAAAACTGGGAACCGATTGCAGAGCTAAATGAAATAGTGTAGGGTGCAAGTTTTACCTTCAGCTACTGAAAACTCTGAGGTCTTCAAACACTGGTGAGACTACCTGCGTGCACTCCAGAGGGTAAAGTGAGACACTGAAGGGCTGACTCAGAGCTGCTGCTCACACAGCATGTCCAGCAAAGCTCCTGGTTAGACTGAGCTGAGTTTTCTCAGGGAAAGAAGTGGAGTCCAGGCTGCTGCTGCTGGGATGTTGCTAAAGGAGCCCGGAGCTGCCATCCCCGGGGAACATGACAGCACCTCCCTTCTGCCCTCTGCACCTGGGGCACAGAATTAGTCTTGACACCGTACACGGCTGTTCTAGGAGAGAAAACAGCAAGATTCCTCTCACCAAGACTCAGAGCTTCAGGAAGCAGGGCCCAGCGGCAGGAAGGCTACCAAGAGCCTTGCACTGAGACAATGCACTGAGTGTATGTGTGTGAGAGCTGGGTGGGCTACAAAGAGGAGGGGTGTGTGTGTGTGCGCACACTCTCACTGAGACACTGTGCTGAGTGTGTGTCTGAATGTGTCTGAGTGTGAGAGATGGGAGGACTACAAAGGGAAGGTGCCTTGAGGTCTAGGGAAACTTGCTGCCATCCTGCTGGTCGTGGCCAGTTTGGGGCTATCTCTGCTGCAGGGCAGGGCTTCCTCCCAACAGAAGCTACAGCAGAAGACACAGCTTTCCTTCAACTTCAACATGAAGGCTGCAGCAGCACCATGAACTTTCAGGTAGAACTAAGACGGCATTTCTCCAGCCTCCAAGGGGCACGTGTGTGAGCTCTGGTTCCAGCCTGGCAACACAGGAGCACCAGAAACACCCCAGAGGCATCCACAGTCCTTCAAGGCGGGCGCTCCCAGGTCTGCCACCTCACCGCTCGTTAGAGCAGGTCCAGTGCACATCCTCACACTGGCCAGTCCTCCCTCCGGACATCTCTGGTCTGGAGAAGAGGCTGTGTGAGCACCCAAATTCCTAAGGAAACACCCACACAGGTACCTGCACCCCTCCAGGGCAGCGTCACACACGCACCACCCCCACAGCCATGTGCCCAGAGCGGGTACCCACATGGCTGGCCTGTGTCCCAGGACGCTTGCTGTCCCTCCAGCAGGGGCTGCATCCCTGCCGGGCACTGCACCTCATCCCAGGTGCTGACAGGGAACAGAGCATCCAGGCCATGCCACTGCTGCTGGGACACAGGCAACCTTCCCAAGACAGATTACATGAAGGGGGATCACACACCCTGAAAGCCACGCTACAAACATCCCTGCTGTATCTCAGCAGGAATCCTTCTCCAATCGTCTGAACTGGGTTGGTATTTTCAGTATTTTCAGCATTTTCAGTACTTCAAGGCTGACACCTGGTGAGTTGAGATGCCCCAAATTTAGGACACTTTCTCTGTGTCAGACTCAATGATTATTCCCTAATGAGGCTCATCTAAGACATGCATTCTCTTTGGAAGTCACAGCACAGAATCTCACACTCAGAAGAACTCGTCAGCAACTCAGGGCCAGGACTGATATCTCCATCAAAAGGCACTAATGTGGGGCTAACCCAACTGCAGAGAAGACAGCCGTTTACAGTCCCAAGGTGAATGAAGCAGGCAAACCAGTGCATTTGTGAACAGAGGCCACCTGTGCATCCCAGGACTCGAGTGTCCGTGTGTCCAGGAAGACCAGGGGAGCACAGCAGCCACAGATCTGCGGGCTGTGGAGAAATCAGTGAGTGAGCAAACGTGCACACATGGAGGCATGACTGCTCACCATCCACCAAGAGGGTTTACACCCTTCCCACAGGCCTCCCCTGCAGCACTGCACAAAGGGTGCAGACGGCACTTGCAGTGCACACACACCCGGAGCCAGGTCATGATCCATTGTCTTCTGATCCTTTCTCTCCACCTCAGTTCCTGCTCTGCTTCTTGAAGCCCCACCCATACCTTGGGGTGTGCTCCTCAGGAGGCCCCTCGGTCGTCCAGGGGCTTGTCACTCCCCACCCTGCAGACAGTTCTTGGGAGAGAGGTCGTTGTCCACATGGGGCTTGGCCTTCCTCCTCCTCATCTGCTTCGTCAGGTCAGCCATGTGCTCTGGCCACAGGTGCCCCGCACTCCTGCGCCCTTTCTCTCTCCTCCTCTTGTACTCCAGGATCTGCTTGTTGAGTGCCTCATGGTCAATCCCACACAGGTTGAAGTGTGCAGCAGGGCCCAGGGTATCACTTGGCAAAGCCACATCCAGGGTCTCGGGGTCGCTGGGGGAGAAGGGGAGTTGTCACACCAGGCACAAATATCACATGGCGTACAAACACTCTGTTAGCCCCCTGCCGACACACCGCGCTGCTGCTTCTCTAATAGAACTGTGGAGCCAGCACAAAGCAGGGTTTGGTCCAGTGGTCTCCAGTCTAGCACTTCTTGACCAGCACCCCTGGAGCCTGTATGTGGCTCAGGCCACCATGCTCCTGATGCAGACATTCTGGGCTGACATCAAGTGTATTTTCATGGCTTCCCCACTTAAACATGGCTAGTGCGCTAGGCTAGTTAAACAGAATCATGGGGAGCTGGTCTTTAGTTACCTGATGAACCAAAAGAGAAGACAAGTCTATTCTGAGGGCAAAACCAGAGCAATCCTCACAAAACCCCAATTTGGCCACAGCACGCCCCTCACTCTCAGATCAGGAAGGGCTCCACACCCACAGGCGCTCCACCTGCCTCTCCCAGGTCTACTCCTCACTGAGCTGGAACTGGGTACTCACTGTCACTCGGGGCTTCTGACCTAGCTCAGGGGTCCAAGTGTTACCCCCCACCCCCTGGCAGGCTGGCTCCTATAGGCCTTGGCCCCTGAGGCCCTGATGGTACCCAAGCGATGCTCACATAGCTGATCTAAGGATACAGGCTAGATACCCAGTGTAGCTGTTCCCTCACCTGAAACAGGTACCCCTCCACACCCCGAATCCTCACATCACCTTCTCAGAGGCCTATCCTGATATTCACTGCTTCCTAGCAAGACGCAGGCTCCAAAGACACTGCCATTTGTTCACAGCATTCCCTAAGCATTAGAACAGGCCTGCTGGGAGCAGGCACTCGACAGAAATGCACAAGGAAACGGAGAAGACGGGCTGCAACTACCAGCACTCAGGGTCCAGGCCCCAGCACTTCTGGTGGGCCCGGAGGCCCTCCTGACACCTCCCCAAGGTGCTGGGTAATTGGCCAGGCTGCCACTGTGGACTGCCATCGGCCAACACTGGGTTGGGCCTTAGGTCAAGACCCTAGGGCATAAAGCAGGGCCCACCCCCACACACTGGGCTGGGGGCAGGCAGGATTGTGCAGCGGTTGTGGAAACCAAAAAGTCCATAACTGTGTGTGCCCAAATCAAAAACACATGTCCACATGTTACCACCTGAAGTCACTTTGCACAAAGTCTTCTTTTTCATCCCGGGGTCCAAAATCAGCAATTGCCAGTAGCCGATCAATCTGAAATGCAACAGACAGTGGGTTACTGGAGAGCTGTGCTTCTCCACTGCTTGCACCTGAGAGGGGAGCCAGCAGACTGCGAGTGTCAGGCCGCCCAGAGCCACGGCCACCTCAGGGCCCGGTCATGTGACAGGGCTCCCTCCCTAACACTGCCCATGCCCGTGATCTTAGTTACACTTGTTCTGATAACGAACCGAGACTTCTCAAAAAACTATACTTGAAGCGTGTAAATGTTAGTCAAATTTACAAAGGAACCAGTTAAATATTAGTTGAATTACTGACACTTACTGGTTTCTAATGAGGTTCTGTAAAATGCTTCAGTTTTGCCATAGAATTTGCTTGGGGGAAAGAACCCCCCACTGTGGCTATGTGGGAGTCACAAGGCCCAGCATTTGACTCCAGCTCTGTAGGGCGTGAGGGGCCAAGACTGGAGATGTACTCTGCTCCTCAGCAGGGCCCAGCAAGGTCCCCCCACCTTCACCTGCCTGCTCTGATGCCGCCAGTTTCTCCCACCAGGGCTGTGCATGGAGACCTGACCTCCCACTTCAGTACAAGCCCAGCCAGCCTGACCCACAACCGGGTCCCGACATCCACCTGAAGTCATCATCAACAAGTGACGCTCTTAAAACCACAAGGTGAGAAGAGGCAGAATTGGACACGAGCCAGTCCACAGAAAACCCAGGAACAGGATGATGATGCTACATCGAGGACAAACGGGCCTCCGAGTGAAAACTGGGAGTTAACTCACATTCCTGATGGCCGACGGTGCTGAGCATCTGGGTATGCACATTGGCAGAACCACCAGCAACGAGCACCCCTGAGTGTGCACACTGGCAGAACCACCAGTGCTGGGCACCCCCGAGTGTGCACACTGGCAGAACCAGTAGTTTTGCTGGATTATCTAGGCTTCAGTTTGGACATAGTTGATACCGGCCTCTTTCAAACATCTAGACCCCTGACCTGAAGACTGCATTCTATCCTGAGAACACAAAGTAAGCTGTTCAAACTGGAGCAGTAGCAACTACTTGCAACTTTTGTTGCAACCAACATTAGACAGAAATAAACTGACAGAAGACTCTAAGTTTCATCAAGAACTAATTTCAAATTTCTGTGTCTATCCAAGCTGCTTACCAATGGAGGATTTTACATCTTAAAAATGTACAGAGACTGAAAAACTCTGCTCTGACTTAGCCAGGGGAAGCAGTGACCATGCCCTTGACAATCACCTGCCCAAATCAGAAACCCACTCTGGTTCAGCCTTTACTCCTAACTACAGTGAGACAGAGTGCAGGACGATGCGTCCAGCCATGGCCTGACCTTCCCTTGGCGGCTCCACGTGCAGGACACGCCATCACCCTGTGGCTCGTGTCCGACCCTTCAGAACTTCCCTTGGGCACATGTGGTAGGACAGACAGGCCTGAAGTGGACAAAGGCCCGCCAGAGACACACAAGCATAGAGGTGGGAGCACACCCTCCCTCTAATGACTTCTCTGGAAAGGAACCCACACAGCGAGGGAGCACCTGGCAGCCATGACATCTTCCTCCACAGAGAGTGGGACGAGTCACGATTTAGCGAGAACAGGGAGCCCACCCTCTGGGACAGGCTGGGCTCCTCCCGCAGCCCTGCATGGGGACTCCTGCTGGGGTCTGCACACCACAGCCCAAACCCCGCCTGGGCTGACAAGTGGCTCTGCATCTTCACTCCTGCTCCCCTTCTAGCGAGGAAGCCACACACCCACGAGGCTATTATCCAAATAGTGTTTCCAGTATAGGTGTATGATGAAAAATGAGAAACAATAATGTACAACCGGATCTTTCTTCCCCTGTGGACCTACGCACTACCTAGTCTTACAGTGAACACGCCACCGAATCCTCCTGCAGTGCTGCTGGCTTCTTCAGTGAACCTGTGAGAGTGTAAGACGCCTTAATAACCAAGGAACTACCACCAGATGAAAATGCATGTATGTTAACAGGGTTTTAACCTCTAAAACCTGTACTGAAAACAAGGAAAACAACTATGGAACAATGACAGTTCCAGGACAGAACCTAAGTGTGTCAGCCTTGACGGTGTAAAGTAACCACAGACAGAATGAAACTCAGGGAGGTGAGAGGAGGCAGCACGCTCAGGGGGCAGCTCCGACTGCGTCACATTTATGAACCTAGAGACGGGGTTGCAGTTTTTGAGTGTGATATTCAAACTACAACCACGGGGTTATAGTTTTGAGGGTGATTCTGACGAGCATCAAAAAATTAAAGCTATACAACGTGGCTTCCTCTGGGGAATTTGGGTAAGGACAGGGACACAGGAGCCCTACTTTTCATTTGTACATTTCCAAATATTACCTTTTAAAATCTGTACACAGGACTCTTTTGAATATTTAAAACTTAAATGTAAAACCTTATGCATACAAAAGTTGACACAGTAAAGACACAATTATGTAAAAGCCTTACCTCCATCACAGCAGCATATTTTTCGTCCTGAACGAACACTATGGGCGGCACGTTCCTCAGGGTCTGCTGAGACATCAGAAGATGCCTGGAGAGAAAATAAGGTTTGAGCAGTTGAAGTGACATCTGGCGGAGGGATGCCAGAAACAGAAATGTCATCTCACAAAGAGGTGAGACATGAGTTTTGTTCATCACAGTATTTGAGGATGAAAAATCTTCCTTAGCCAACTGCCACATTTCAATAGGGATATCAAATGCATTATCACAACTGTTTTTAATGCTCTAAATGCAGCTTTTGAGACCCTTATCAAGTCTGCCGTGAACTTGGGAGGGCCTGCGGGTGTCACCGCCAGCGTCCACTCCATTCACAGGCACCAGCAGCGGCTCCAAAGAAGGGTGGCCGCCAGGCCACGACCACCAGACGCCAGACACAGAGACAGTGCTGGGACACACAAGCACAGCTGCTCAGCGACAGAACTGGTACACAGTCATGCGGATTTACACTAAAGCCTGGTGATCCAAAGAGGTGGGAAACATTCTGTTCAACTGACTTTTCTGATTGCTGCTGCTCTTTAGTCGCTTCAGTCGTGTCCAACTATTTGCGACCCCACGGACTGTAGCCCACCAGGCTCCTCTGCCCATGGGATTCTCCAGGCAAGAATACTGGAGTGGGTTGCCATGCCCTCCTCCAGGGGATCTTCCCGACTCAGGGATCAAACCCATGTCTCCTGCATTGCAGGTGATTCTTTACCACTGAGCTACCAAGGAAGCCCCACTTTTCTGATTACCTAAAAGCTAATAAGAAAACAATGCTCTTATCTCAACACTTGTTGGAAATCTCTCGTTTTCTTGTTTCTGTGAAACGTAAAAACTGAGAGTGACGAGCACTCTGACGCCTAGCTTCAGAAACCACAACACTGTGAGGGATGCATAGCAGCTGAGCAAGCACGCAGGAGAACACCAGACCTGCAGGATCCTGCTCTCAGCATCTACCACCTCGCCTTCTAAAAAGAAAGCGTGGGGCTTCCCTGGGGTCCAGGGGTCAAGAACCCGGGGACGCAGTTTCAATCCCTCGACCAGGAAGAGCCCACACCCCATGGGGCAACTAAGCCGGTGAGCCCCAAATACAGAGCCTGTGCTCCCGAGCCCATGCTCTGTGACGAGAGTCACCCCTGTTCCCCACGACTGGAGAAAGCCCATGTGTGGCATTGAAGACCCAGAACAGCCAAAAATAAATAAAAACTTTAAGAAGAAAAATGGAAGCCTGCTGTACAGTGGAGGCAGGAGGCCCAGGGAGAAAGAGAAGAAAGAAGGAGAAAGCCCAGTTCTGAGGTTTTCCGCGTTTTAAAGACTGAGGAGAAAACTGATTAACTTTTTTCCTACCACCCAGCTCAGTGGTTCTCACAATTTTTGGTCTCAGAACCCCCTTAATACTCTTAACAATTACTGAGGACACCAAAGACCTTTTGTTTATGTGGGTTACATCAATCAACATTTAACACATTAGAAAGTGAAGCTGAAAAATATTAAAATATGTATTCATTAATTCATTCAAATAACAGCTGTATTTTAAATGAGACTAAGAAGAGTGACACTGTTTGCTGCTGCTCCTAAGTCACTTCAGTGGTGTCCGACTCTGTGCGACCCCATAGATGGCAGCCCACCAGGCTCCCCCGTCCCTGGGATTCTCCAGGCAAGAACACTGGAGTGGGTTGCCATTTCCTTCTCCAATGCATGAAAGTGAAAAGTGAAACTGAAGTCGCTCAGTCGTGTCCGACTCTTAGCGACCCCATGGACTACAGCCCACTAGGCTACTCAGTCCAAGGGATTTCCAGGCAAGAGTACTGGAGTGGGTTGCCATTGACTTCTCCTGACACTGCTTACATGGTTTCAAATTTCTTTAAAACCCAGCATAATGGAAGTCAAGTAGTTTCTCACCTCTGTATCTGCATTCAATCTGTCCTACTATTTTGCTTAAAAATGAAGAAGGAAATGTAAGCTTGCAGGTCTGTAACTGAAAAAGGAACAGTATGTGAACAGCCCTTCAGAAAGGTGTCGATGTTCTCTGATGCTACACAGAATCTCAACGAAAGTGGTTTATTTAAGGCTGCAATGTGGAATCTGAAACCAGAGGGATGGACAGGTCACTCTCGGTACATTAAAATCCTGTGATCCTCTTGCCCTCTGAATTGACCTTTCCCCATTGGTGATTCTGTAACATCACACGTTGGCATTTTTCCAAAAATACTGATTTACCAAGTTACACAGATTTTCAGAATTGATGATGCACTTTACAATATATCATCTCCAATCTCATCAAAAGGGTCTTATGAACTGCAAAGCTGTCAAACTCATAGTAGTGGGTACAGGCTTTCTCAAATTCTCATTTTCACCAAAAGCTTGAATTTTATCACTGGTAACAAACATGGTCAGTTGTTTTCTTGAAGTGACACGTTCACTTTACTCACTTTGGAGAAAATGTCTGTCAGATACCTACATCTTAATAACCACAGTTGGTTCACTTGTTCTTCCAAGTGAAAAATGTGTATTCTGGATCACAATCAGCAACCACAATATTTTTCCAAGACAACCACCAGGACTTCATCCACACTTTCCACCACAGATACTAAAAAGATGTGCCCAAGGGTCAGATTTAATAAAGGGAGTAACTTCTGCTCATTCACCAAGCATATTCTTAATTAAGCTGGCAGTTGATTACCGTGAGTACATGCTGACGCCACAGTAACGACCAGGACATCGTCGGTGCAAACGTCCACACAGCGAGAAAGGAAAACCACACCTCACCATGAAAACAGCTCTAACCTCAGGAACATCCCCCAACAAAGGACCTCGAGGGTTCCCGGGGACCCAGGACCCACTTAGGGAACCACTGACCTGGCTTGTGGCTTATATGAAGATGTGAATTCTGTCCTGAAATTAAAGAAAACACTTTCCAAATTTTCCTTAAAAGTAAAAATGGTGAACACATCGGCTGGCAGACAGGGTCAGGCAGACGGCTCACCTCATGTGCGCAGCACTTCTCCGCAGGACGGCCTCCGTGTGTGCGTTCTGAGCCTCAGAGAGGGTCGTCCTCCAGAAGACACGGCAGGCAGAGAAGTCTGAAGTCAGAGAGACCTGAGCTCCCCCATCCCCGCCCCAAATCTCTGTCAGTTCACCTGGGCTCTCATAGACAGAGAGTGTCAGGAGAGAGGCACTAACCGAAGGGCAGTCCCAGCTTCGCCCCCAGCGCTAGTGCCCAGTGCCCTGACCTGACTCCAGCCCCCGTCCCGCCCCAGAAGCACCTCGGTGCCCTCTGCCCTCCCTGGGGTGAACCCACTCCACCCTGAGGGTGCAGACGGCAGGAGCCAGCTCCCCGTCCTTATCCGGAGAGGAAGGCACATGGGCCACCACTCATCTGACCCAGGTCTTCCTCTGATGGCCCGCCTCACCCTGGGCAGAGCACTGGGGCTGTCTGAACCTGCCCCCCCTGCCTTCCTCCCAACACCTCAAGGCACACACCAAGCCTCCCTTCTGCCTCTCCCAACGCCAGGCGCGTGATGGGGTGCAAGGCCCCTTGGCTACCTTGCAGAGCTCCACGTTCAGGTCACACAACTCCTGGTTCACTTCAGGGGTGCAGAGCATGTCTGTGAGCGCTTTGTAGAGGAGACCGTTCAGGGCCCTCAGGCGCACCTGGTCTTCCTTCCGGGTTCTCCGAGAGGTGCACTTCGTCAGGAACTCCAACTGGGATGACTTGTGGGTCTCCATCAAGAAGAAAGGCCAACATTACACAAAGGCCAACATGACATCTGTACATGAACCTTACTGACAACAAGGGTCACCCTCAGTCACCTTGGCTTTTATATATACTTCATTTTACAGACCTGGACCTGTCTAGATTTTACCTAGTATCCCTTCAAAATTAAAAGCAGACCAAGTACATAAATATTTCCAAAAACATTCTTAGTGAAATGTAATCCACATACCATAAAATTCTCTCTCTTAAAACATACAATTCAGTGGTTTCCAGTATCAGTTCAGTTGCTCAGTTGTGTCCTACTCTGCAACCCCCATGGACTGCAGCACGCCAAGCTTCCCTGTCCACCACCAACTCCTCAAGCTCACTCAAACATCGAGTCAGTGATGCCATCCAACGACCTCATCCTCTCGTTCCCTTCTCCTCCTGCCTTCAGGCTTTCCCATCATCAGGGTCTTTTCCAATGAGTCGGTTCTTCACATCATGTGGCCAAAGTATTGGAGCGTCAGATTCAGTCCTTTCAATTAATACTCAGGACTTATCTCCTTTAGGATGGACTGGTTTGATCTCCTTGCAGTCCAAGGGACTCTCAAGAGTCTTCTCCAACACCACAGTTCAAAAGCATCAATTCTTCGGTGCTCAGCTTTCTTTATAGTCCAACTCTCACATCCATACACGACTATTGGAAAAACCATAGCTTTGACTAGACTGACCTTTGTTGGCAAAGTAATGTCTATGCTTTTTAATATGCTGTCTAGGTTTGTCATAGCTTTTCTTCCAAGGAGCAAGCATCTTTTAATTTCATGGCTGCAATCACCATCTGCAGTTATTTTTAAGCCCCCAAAAATAAAGTCTGTCACTGCTTCCCCATCTATTTGCCATGAAGTGATGGGACCAGATGCCATGATCTTTTTTTGAATGTTGAGTTTTAAGCCAGCTTTTTTACTCTACTCTTTCACTTTCATCAAGAAGCTCTTTAGTTCCTCTTTGCTTTCTGCCATAAGGGTGGTGTCATCTGTATTATCTGAGGTTATTGATATTTCTCCTACCAATCTTGATTCCAACTTGTGCTTCATCCAGCCTGGCATTTCGCGTGATGTACTCTATATATAAGGTAAATAAGCAAGGTGACAATATACAGCCTTGATGTACTCCTTTCCCAATTTGGAACCAGTTTGTTATTCCTTGTCCAGTTCTAACTGCTGCTTCTTGATGTGCATGCAGATTTCTCAGGAGGCAGGTAAGGTGGTCCCATCTCTTTAAGAAGTTTTCAGTTTGTTGTGATCTACACAGCCAAAGGCTTTAGTGTACTCAGTGAAGTAGGTTTCTAGTATACACAGTTTATTTTTTTTCTAAAAGGAACCATTCGTTACATACACTTCCATGATACACATACAATGTATTTCAGAAATACTGCAGACTATTACAGACTTTTACAGACTATTACAATATTACCTTCCAGAGTATTACAATAAAGCAGGTATCACAATACAATGAGTCACATGAATTTTCTGGATTCCTGATGCATATAAGTTATGTCTGCACTATAGTGTAGTCTATTAAGTGTGCAGTAGCAATGTATCTAAAGACAATATACACGCCTTAACTGAAAACACTTTTTTGCTAAAACATGCTGACGTTGACCTGCAAAAGCAGGGATACCACAGACCTCAATCCGTAAAAAGTATGTAGGAAATGCAACACAAGGAGTGCCTGCATACCTACACATATCTGTGTTACACACACACACACACAACCTGAATGGATGTCACCATGTTAGAATCTGGTAACAGATAGGACATTCTGGAAAACTGTGGTATAATTCAAAGGTCAAATCCGCACGTTAGCAGCGTACCTACGCAGGCTCACCCCTCCAGACCCTGCTCCCTCCCCTACTGATGCAGACGGACCACAGGCTGGAGTGCTGCCCGGGGCAGGGCCTCCTGCCCTCCGAGATCCCAAAGTGCTCTTCACTGCTCCTCCTACTTACCAAGTGAGAGCCCAAGGAAGGCCCTTCATACCAGAACTTCTTCCTGTAGAAGAAAATGAGAACTCTGCTGGATACAATGGCAAGCTGGGTAAGAAACAGTTACAAATGCTAACCGCAGGTTATGATATCATAGCTGTTTCTAAAGGGCTAAGCCTGGACATACAGACTAAGTTCCTGGGATTCTAAAAGATTTAGATATCCACCTAACAGCAGCGTGGGTTTTCAGGGAGGGACAGAAGGCAGTTTTAATTCAGCTCCAAGGTTTACCTAAAGTCTACTTCTAGCCCCAACGATGGAGAAAGGGGATCTTAAAAACACACCTACCGCACACGTTTCCTACTCAACAAAGCTGCTGCCTGGGATCTGGTTAACAACTGACACCGTCACACACTGACAGCTAGGTCAGCAGAAGGCGGATGGGAGAGCCAGGCTCCTGACTGCTGCCAACAAGCAAGGGAGAAGGGTGAGGACCATCCGGGCGCCAGCAGATTAGAGATGGAGGTCAGCAGGAACTCAAGTTCCACTTTTTACAGCTACAGGTGGTGACATGGAGAAACATTTATAGATAAGCATACACCCCTGACTTAACCTGAACACATATTGTTTTCACTTTGTCAGCTGAATGGGTATAAAAGACAAATACCCCAGTAGCAATGACATACTCAGCTCCAGATCATGGTTCTGATGCCAGTGTCCAGTGAAGGAACCAGGCAGAGCTCCTTGCAGAAACGTAAAAACTACTTCAAGGGTTTCCCCAGTAGTCTACTGGTTAAGAATCCGCCTGCCAACACAGGGGACACAGGTTTGATCCCTGATCCTGGAAGATCCCACATGCCACAGAGCAACTACGCTACTGAGCCCACAGGTCCTAGAGCCTGTGCCCTGCAATGAGAAGCTGCTCACTGCAGCTAGAGAGTAGCCCCCTCTCCCCACAACTAGAGAAAGCCTGTGGGCAGAAACAAAGACCCAGTACAACCAATAAATAAATAAAATAAAATAAATAAAAACTACCTCAAAACTCCTACCAATGAAGTATGTCAAAGGAACACAGAAGCCACCTGAAAGAGCTACCAATGGTCAAAGCTGGAACAACTGGAGCAAAATTAAGTAGTAATGGGTTCTAACCCATGGGTGCATACTGATAGGAATTAACAAATGGAGAAAAAGAAACGCATGTTCCATCAAAAGTCTCAATAATTCATGAACCTAATTCACACTACTCCTTATGTGTGAGTGGCATACAGTGACTTCCCTGCAAAGATGACAGCATGGAATCAGAGCGGGGGAGGTAACTTTACCTCAAGTGGATAAACTTGACAGACACAAAGGACCCTAGTCAGTGATCAAGACCAACATCAACAGGGATCAACATCATGTATGTGTTCATATGGTGTGATGATGTGACGAAAATGTCACTTTACATGTATCGTCTTCCCCCCAAACCAAGACCCCAGTATAAGCAAGAGAAAATCATCACACCAGTACCAACAGAGAGGCATTCTACAAATATCTAACCAGTGCTCCTCAAACTGTGGAGGTCATCAAGCACCAACAGTTGGAGAAGCTGACACAGGTGAAAAGGAACCTAAAAAGATGTTCCTGGATAGGATACTGGAACAGAAAAAGGACAGCGGAAAAAGAAGCAAAGGTGCATAAAGCTCGGACTTTAGTTAATAATAATGTATCAGTGCTGGTTCATCCACTGTAACACATATGCCAAACCAATATAAGAGATTAATATAGGGGAAACTGTGCTCATATGGGAACTCTATTCATCTTTGCCAATCTAAAACTTTTTTAAAGTGTATTAAAACAAAACATATACATATATACACTTATACATATCTACAATAGAATCAAAATGATATGGAAATTAACATAATTTATTATACTTTTCTCTTATCACAACAAAACGTATCCTATTTTTTTAATTCCTCAAATTAACCTCACAGAGAAAGCATTAAGGCGGAAAGGCAATTCTTACATATTTTTCTTATTTCCCTGTGATGAAACTGCTCTCCCGTAAAAACGCTTCTAATAACAAGAATCACCATCCCTCGGTGTCTGTAAGGAAGTGGTTCCAAAACCCCACAAACACCAAAACTCGAGGATGCCCAACGCGTTGTTTGCTCATAAACTCCGCGCATCCTCCCGGACACACTAAGTCATCGCTAGGTTACTTACCATACCTAATACCATGTAAATACTACCAAAACAGTTGCCAGCAAGCCAAGTTCAGGTTCTGTTTTTTAGAACTTCGTGGAATTTCTTCTGAACATTTTCAATCCAAGGTTGGTTGAATCCGAGGATTTGAAACCTCGGACCCACGGTGGAATGTAAACATCACTTTGCTTTAAAAGTTCACTTTGCTTTTAGCAGACTTAAAATCATCACAACTACAGTTGTGTATTAAAGTACAGAAAAAAAGCAGGGTGGAAAAACCGCAAACGGCAGCCGTGACGAGTGGACTTTCACCCGCGGAGACTGCGCTCACAGACTTGGCTGCGCGCTAGGGCGCCAGCTAGCGCCCAGGCGGAGCCCCCACCCTTGAGGACCCCGGCCCGGGCCACCGCCCCAACGCCCTCCACCCCACTCGGGAACATTACTTGGTTTTCGAAGCAAATTTCTTGAGCAGGTTCTTGCCACAGGACACAGGCGAGCTGTGCAGACCTCGGACACCACTCAGGAGCCCCAGATGGAGCCCCGGCCGCCACCTGAGAGCGGCCCACATGTTTGCTCAGCGACTGCGGACAAATGGCGACGCAAGGCGGGGCGACGGTGACAAGGAGACGTGGGGCGGGGCAAAGCCAGACGGGGAGACCTTTGCGGGGAGACGTGGGCAAGAAGACAAACGCGGCGAGGCCGTGAGCAGGGGGTGGGCGGGGCCCAAGGAGACACACAGCTGACGGAAGAGGGGCGGGGCGACGTGTGGGGCGGGGCTACTTTTGCGCGGCGTGGGCAAGGGTGACGTTGCCACGGAGACGTAAAGCGGAGCGACGCTGAGAGGGGCGTTGTGCGGGATAGGATACTTTGACGGGGCGTGGGTGTGGGTGGGGTAACGTTGCCAAGGAGACGGGGAGAGGAGCTCGCGGGGCGGAGCGAAGTGTAGGCGGGGCTATATGACAAGGAGTCAGTGGGGCGTCGTTGCCCAGGAGACGTGGGGCGGAGCGACACGGGGCGGGGCGACGTGGGGGCGGAACTACGTTACGGGGCGTGGGCGGAGCGTCGTTGCCAAGGAGACACTCTGGCGGGCGATGCTGGGCACCGCGCGGTGACGGTAACTGTGACGTGTCGTGGAGTGAAATGGACGGGGAGACGTGGGGCGGGGCGAAGCGAGACGGGGCGATGTATAGGGCGGGGCTATGTAGACTAGGGTGTGGCTGACTGGCGTTACCAAGGAGACGTGGAGCGTCACCACTCGGGGCGGGGCGACGTAAGGCTTTGAGGCGACGTGGGGCGGGAAGACGAGTTAGGGGAACAGGTGAAGAGGCTCTGGGCCAAGTGCTGGGCATGCTGAGAGTCACCGGGAGACTGGGCGGGGCGCAAGGGCGCGGCGGTATCTGGGGACGAGTAGACGGACTCTGAGGCGGCCGAGCGGAAGCACGTGCGGGGAGGGGCAGGGCTGAGCGTGAGCAGGCCTGAGCAGTCACGCGTCGTTGGGCGAGTGGGCCGGGCCGGGCCGGGTGGGGGACCGTGCACCGTAGGTTGGACAGGGCGCCTGTGGGTGGGGCTAGATATCAAGGTGCTGAGCGGAGCGCCAAGACGTAACCTGAGGAGCAGACGAGCCACGACCCCGCAGTTCTTCCATCCAGTGCCGCGTTAGCTAGACTTTGCTGCTGGGGAAGCGCGCAAAACACCCGAAGGCGGAGACTGCAGAGCGAGGAACACACTTTATGCACCCGCACGGAGCTAACAGAGAGGGGGGCGTTGCAACTCCCTTGCTACAGAACATCAAATGAGGAGCAGGGAAGTAAGGTCCGTCTTCACTCGGTGGTTTAAATGAAAAGCCGGCGTCCTGGAGCAGAGCTCCTGCTTCTGGCACAACTAGGAAGGATCAAGTTCCTTCCTCTCTATGCTACTAATTCGTTTGCTCACTTCCTGTGACACCTGCTCGTCAGTCTATGTGGAGGAGAAAAACAGCTTCCAAACTGCTGCAGAAAGGAGCCATCCTCACCCCAGACGCCTCTTCAAGGTCACCCCTGGTAATTCCGCACTAGGCACTCTCTCCCCGCTCCTTTGCTCCCGCTCAGACAGACCTCCTGGCACTGCTTGGTCTTCTCCCTACTAGTAAGTAAACCCTTGAGTGGGGACTTGGCACATCGAAGGTGCCCAATTATCTTTTTGAATGATTGAAATAGTGATCAGACTGTCAGGGAGGACTATGTAATCCAATAAATTTACCAGAATTTATCAAGACTGAAAGCAGCACAACTCACTGGGAAACCTACAGACCGAGTGCAGGCTTTTGCACTGTGGACAAGTAATTACCTGTGCTCAGTTTTATCACGAATGGTAACAGAACTTCCCTCTTACAGCTGCCTTGAGGATGAGGTGAGCATGTGAGAAAAGCATTTAGCAAACTTTCAACAGGTGATTAAGTATTATGACTAGTCCTTAAGTTTTTCATCTAAGTAGTATTAATGCAATCTATATAATGGACTCAAACATAAAGTATACAAAAGTGTTTCTTTCCCATTTAATCTGCTGTTTCCATCCCACTGAATGCTTATCTCACATAAATCATTTAAGCAGCACTTCGTTAGGAATAGGAAGGCCACTGAAAGAAGCCAGGATGCTTTCAACCAAATTTTCCATCATCTGTCGTCTTGCTTGATGAGTTGCACTTCCCATGTGAGGTGTCAGAATGATGTTCTTCAACTCCAATAAAGGATGATCTCTGAAATACAGATTAATGGAGGAAAACAGAGTCATTTGGTTTCTTTAACTTCATATTCTGGTTTCACATCCCCACTGACATGGGGAAGGCTGTGGGAGGCCTCATGATGTACTGAGATGATACCTAGATGTACACTAGATGATCACTGCTCATTTAACCCTTGTTTGGGTGACCCAACATTACTGGATGTAAAATAACATATCCTAACTGCACCCAGGCCATTAGCTCACAATTGCAGAACATGCATGATGGGTTAAATGACAGTGACCTGCAAGATAAGAAAGGGGCTTGGGATGCTGATTCAGGCATGATGGGTCAAGATGAATGCACCTTTAATGGGAATGGCATTCAGAGGGAAAAGATTTCTTAACTAGGATTAGCAGGTTAAAGGGAGCTCTCTTCCAGGAAGAAGGCACAGAATGGGAGACAGCCTGGAAAGATAAGGTTTTAGTGAAGTCGGTCAGGCAGACTCAAGCATAATGATGGATAATATTAGAACTCAGGATTGGAAAAGTGCTGTCACCTGGCCCAACAGAGCCTCTTTATTTTAATACAGACAGAGGCCAAAGTAGCCACATGGCAGTGATTCCTCCCTGCCCAATAGCTACTGTGGCTCAAGGGGCACACCCTTGGGAATCCTAAGGACCCCCAAACCTATGGAAGTTCTCTACGAGCACCTGTAATTTATGCCAATGCAGTGCAACCACCCTCACCTCCAGGACTGATTGAAGTAAGACATATTGTGTGGTACAGTTAGCAGGGATAGGATTATTCTGAAAAACACTTGTGTTCCCTCCCTATGAAGCAGGTGGGCCCTACTATATAACAGCACACAATGGAAAACAGTCTAGGTACGAGGGTATGAGACAGGGTGATGCTTTGTCCCAGCGGACTTGGAACCCAACACCTGCCCATAAGAATATCTGAATGTATAGGCAAGAGACATTTATGTTGAGAAGGCATAGCAAATACCTCTGCAATTGTTACTGACTTATGTAATTAAACTGCAGTGTACCATGAATGTATAGCAATATGCTGTAACACTGGCACTGTTGGCAAGATTTAACTACCTCATGAAAGTAAGTCAGATGATAATACTGACATTGATGATCAATGGGAAATGACTGGCCTGTGAATTACTGGATTTCGCTAAATATCACCTAACTTTATATACTAAATAGTGCTACATGAGTTCATCATAACATACAAATAGTGTTAGATGAAGAGGTTGAGGGCAACAACTAATCAAAAAATACAAAAATACAATGGGTTAGTTGTTTCTTTAAATCTTATCCCTGCCCCACAGTGACTCCTTCAAATGTCACACATAGTCTAACAGCAGTACTATTGCTGAACCTGTCTTATAAATACAGTAATAAATGTAGATACTTCAATAAATATCATTTTGCTGTGAGACAGCCTAGGCCAAGGGCCTTGCAGTCCATGGGGTCGCAGAGTCAGACACAACTGAGTAACTGAACTGAAGGGCCACAGGGGTGGCCTGTGTAATAAAGAATTAACTGAGCAGGCAGGTTTGGAGTTCTTGAATTCTGCACATTCCAAAGAAAAGGCTGGCCTTTGACTGGCCTCTGGAAGATAACCTGTGAGCCCTTCAGATATACTGCCTGGTAAGAGTATCTGATCCTTGGGGTCTTGGACAAAGCCAGAGAGTTGTTGCTAGTGGTTTAATCTGTGGTGAATGCCTGTTTTTGTTTGCCTAGAGCTCTTGGCTAGTCTGTATCAGTTTGACCTCTATAGGGGCTGGAGGCTAAGAAGTAAGTGTCAGACAAGTGGGTACTCCATGCCAACATGACTGAGTCCAGATAAAATGCTCAGTGAGCTTCCCTGGATGGAAATACTTAATGTATGTTGTCATGCATCACTGCTGGAGGTATAGGCACTGTCCACACAACTCTGCTGGGAGGACAAGCCTGGGTCTCCTGGACTCCACTCTAGAAGTTTTCTGCCTTTGCTGATTTTAAACTTATGTCTTTTCACTGTAATAAACTGTAACTGTGAGTATAAAAGCTTTTCTGCGTTCTGCACGTCTTTCCAGCCAATCATTAAAACTGAAGGTAGTCTTGGGGACCCCTGGCACTACTGACAAATGAAATTTTTAAAATAATTTGTAGTATATCCTTTTGTAAAGTAAAGAATAGTTATGTAGTATGACTAAATAACCCAAGATTTCCTACTTTTTATTTTTTTTCACAGTGAGCGGCATCAAAATGTCTCCCTGAAAAAGATGAAAACTCAAACGTATCTGATAAATACCTTGGCAAAAGAGCTTTAACAAAAATGATTTCACGTGGGACACTGGGAGTACATCACCTATTAGGATAAACTAAGCTTTGGGATATAACACTGGTATTTGCCCTGTGACTTGTAAGGAAAAGCTCTTTTTAGCAGGTTAGTCAACAGGGGTGATCGCATGACTTCTGTTTTGAGTAAGTTGGCAACTGTCTAAAATGTTCATCCTTCTTTTATATTGAAATTATTTTTTGTTCTAGATTAGTGGCTCTCTTCTAAAGAGCCTCTTGATGAAAGTGAAAGAGGAGAGTGGAAAAAGTTGGCTTAAAGCTCAACATTCAAAAAACTAAGCTCATGACATCCAGTCCCATCCCTTCATGGCAAACAGGTGGGGAAACAATGGAAACAGTGACAGACTATTTTCTTGGGCTCCAAAATCACTGCAGATGGTGACTGCAGCCATGAAATTAAAAGACACTTGCTCCTTGAAAGAAAAGCTATGACTAACCTAGACAGCATATTAAAAAGCAGAGACATTATGTTGCCGACAAAGGTCCATCTAGTCCAAGCTATGGTTTTTCCAG